GCAGTTACATGTGTTCTTTTACTCAAAGCTTTATTGGTGGAAGAATCTTACCCTCAAACACCATGCCTACAGGTCTTTAAAGACTTGGACCTAAGGGGTTGTCAGCAATTGTGTTGAGGAAAGAAGGAACTTCTTCTAATTTTGAGGTTACTAGTGCCCTCTAGTGGAAGATAAAGCTCTGCCCACTGGGTGAAGATGAGTGCAAAGCCCCCCTCACCTATGTATGGTACCACCTTTTTCCAGAAGCCTGTTTATCAAACCAGGAGCTCAAGATTAGAGACATAAAACCATTTGCCTCAGGTCACCCAGTAAACAGCTACTGGCAAGTCAAAATCTGTGTTAAAGCTTTCAGGACTAGTGATAGTATCTCAACCTATTTATACAATTCAGAGAATGATAAACAATACCTAAGCTTTGGGTTCTAAATAAGTTTATTAAGTATACACACAGCAAGTACTACCAGGCATGGTGGCACACACCTTCAATCCAGGCACTCAGGAGGCAGAGGCAGGTGGATCTCTTGACTTTAGGGCCAGCATGGTCTATATAGTGAGTACCAGGACAGCCAGAGCTTTGCAGAGAGACCCTGTCTCATGAAAACTAAAAACAGAAGGACTGGAGAGATGACTCAGGAGTTAAGAGCACCAGCTGCTCTTCCAAAAGACCCAGGTTCAGTTCCCAGCACCTACATAGCAGCTCACAACTGTCTGTAACTCCAGCTCCAGAGGATCTGGCACCCTCATACAGACATACACCCAGGCAAAAAATTAAAATTAGTTCATGTTTTTAAAAAGCACAAAGTAATGGGGCTGGAAAGATGCTCAATGGTTACATTACTGGCTGCTCTTCTAGAGAAACTATGTTCAATCTTCAGCACTGACACTGCAGCTCACAACTGTCCATAAATCCAGTTCAAGGAGATCCTATGAGCAATGCAAGCATGTGGTGTAGACACACAGAGGCAAAGGAAACACACACATGTTTATACTTATATTACAAAGCAGCTAACAGCAAAGAGCAGCCGCAGATAATAAAACATTATCAAATCCAGAACTAAAACAGGATCAAATCCAGCACTAGCAACATCCATCCTTACTGGAGGAACACAAGTGAGACAGCAAAGATGACACCAGGGGCAGGTGTGGTGGTGCACACCTTTAATCCCAGCACTCAGGAGGCAGAAGCAGATGGATCTGTTAAGTTCCACAAGGTAGACGAGGTAATAGCTTTTAAGAACCAGCCTCAAAAACCCACACTTAGGGTTCAAAAGAGATGCTATAATAAGCAGAGTCTGAGAGCTAAAGGAAAAAAAATCAACTCACACATCTTCTCATCATGTCTCTTTATTCTTCAGAAAAGTCTCCTATCCCACAAGGTTTCCAGTTTATATACACATACAGACACAATTAGCAATTCTCTGGCAATAGCAAGGACACCAGGCACGCATTTCTCAGGGCCATGAGGACAGATAAGAGCTTTGAAGTGGGCATCTGTTATCTCAGTCATGGTTCAGATGGGGTGTACCTGTGAAATGCCCGGGCACAACTTAAGAGGCAAAAAGGATCAAAAAAGGCTATGACTTCTAAGAGGGGAAAAGAGGAGTTTGCATGTAAAATTACATTTGTGTAGCTAGTTAAGCTACAAGCTTGTGATGGGTAAGTGTAGGGGGGAAAAAAGGGAAGAAAATGCTGCAGTACTGTGTACTCTCTAAGCACTTTCTTCTGCTTCTGAAGCACTTGGGAACAGTGTCATGGTAGCCATGACAACTTGCAGGCACTGAGGGAGGAAAATGGGTGGCGCTTGTTCTGAATTAGCATTTTCGTCAGATGTTAGCTGATTAAAGAGAACCTCTCAACCCTAGACCAAAGGGGAAAACTATGGCTATGTAAAACCCAGCTGGTGCTCAGCCTTGGGCCCAGTGGCAGCGCGCCTGTTCCCACTGATGCCTGAGTCAGAAGGAATTTCCTTTCTCTGGGGTCTTTATGAGAGTTCAAGGCACCCATCAAGAATGCAGCCAAATGAAGAGTCATCCTCCTGACTTCCCAGATATATGTGACTAGTAGATGGAATATTTTCATGCGATATACACACACAAGCAGTGGGAATCACTATTCTTAAGGAGATGAAGTGACTCATGAGAGAAGTTACAGACAGGAGCAAGTGATTTCCACAGCCAGCGACGCCACGGTCTTACTGGGCGGAGCTCCCTATCACTCATGTGGTAGATAGGCCTGAGTATTACCCTGTTGGATTTCTCACAGCCCCTGACAATGAGGCAACTGTCCTAGTGGGAGTTGGAATTGTAGGCAGAGCAGATGGGCCACTGCCTTCTCCTTCCCACTGGAGGCACCTTTATATTACGGAATAAATCAAATCCGTGATTGGAAACTATCTACTTTCTAGCCATTCTCAAGGACAGAAGTATTGTTCATTTAAGAATTAACTGAGCTGAGCGGTAGTGGTGCACGCCTTTAATCCCAGTACTCGGGAGGCAAAGGCAGGCAATCTCTGTGAGTTCGAGGCCAGCCTGGTCTACAGAGAGTTCCAGGACAGTCTCCAGAAACAAAACAGAGTTAGTTGAATGTATAGGGGTGGTATGTATGTGCATGCAACTGCAGGTGCCTGAGGAAGTCACTGATGTTGCATCCCCTGGAGCCAAAGTCACAGACAGTTGGGAGCCACCAGACATGACTCCTGAGAGTAGAACTTGGATCCTCTGGAAGAGCATCAAATGCTACCAGCAAAGCCATCTTTCCAGCCCGGACATAATACTGACTCTTAGGTGCCTGTTGTTTTCCATCCTCCATGTTACAAGTTAGAGGCCAAGTCAGCCAGGACAGGGAGTTTAAGAGGAGACAAGGGAAAGCCTCCTCACTCTCAGTACACCTAAGCTTAACCAGTGTATGACAACTTACCAATGTAATGTAGATTACACAACACCACTTTTGTCCTCCATGATGCTTTGATGCGTCTTCCCGCTTAGCCTTCCATGGACTTCAGCAATGGTTCAGGATGGTCACTAGCAGAGCACACCAGCAGCACCTGGAGCCTCTGGGTGGACCCAACAATCCGTAGGATCACCTACAGGTGATCCTGACTCCTGCCCAGGGCTCACAGATGGCTCTAGGGTGTGGAAAGGTTCTAGAAATAAAAGCTCCTACATCTTTTCTGGAGGACTTAAAACCCTATTGACCCTACCACCAACAAACTAATATAGTAACTTCAATAAGACTCTCCAAGTAATAACCATACAGTTTCTGCCAGCTTCCCTAATCAAGACTAGGACATGATCACCCCCACTGCATAACACCCCACACAAGACACTCACATTCATCCAAGTCCAGGTCTCTCTGAGCTCCATTCTCATATGAGCAAAACCAACACATCTGGAACTCATCTTCATATTATTTATGATTTAATAAAGCTTGCTTTAATCCCAAGACTTCAGAAGACAAGCAGACGGATCTCTGTTAGTTCAAGGCTACACTGTGCTACATGAAATTGATCCAGTTCTAAAGAGAATCAGCTCACACAAAGGTGATCTCAGCCCTTGGGATCACACACCCTTAATCCTAAGATTTGAGAGGTATAAAAGGAAGCAAAGGGTCTCATGTGAGACTCAGTTTCCAGACAGGGAGAGCTACTGTCTCTGAGGACTGGTGGAGATCACTGCACTCTGAGAACTCACCCTTTCGGTCTCAGGTAGTGGCTGGTTGCTTTGCTCTCTGACCCTCAGCTTGAACCCTAATATCTATCTCTGGGTTTTCATTTTTTGTGTTACAAAAAACTATTTTTAATTATGTGCAAGTGCTCACAGAGGTCAGAGGCACTGGATTCCAGAAGCTGAGTTACAGGGAGTTCTAGTCACCTTGAGTGCTGAGACTCAAATGCAGGGCTCTGGAAGGGAAGTATCTACTGTTAGCCACTGAGCCAGCTCTTAGTCCCCATTTTTTTCCTCTTGATACCACCAAAACCTTTTATCCATGCTTGCTGTTGGTCTCCCCATGTAGCCCACAATTGGCCTTCAACTTGCAGTCTTCCAATGTACCAGGGGTGGGCCTACGTCTTTATTTACCCTCATTCATTTTTGCTTATTTATTCATTTGCTTATTCATCCATTCTTGAGACAGGGTTTCTCTATGGAACTCACTATGGAACTGTGTTCCAGGCAGGCCTCAAACTCAGAAATCTGCCTGCATGTGCTTCCCAAGAGCTAAGATTGAAGACATGTGCCACCACACCTGACTGTACTCCTGTTAATTTGAGTGGAACCAATCATCCCAGCAGCTGACTCTCCTGCTCACTCTACACCCATTTCTAAGTTGACTGTGTTTTCCACTTTTCCCAAACCCAACCATTTTTTGCTGCTTGTTTCATTAAGTCACTGACTGCAATTCTTGGTGCCTTAGGCATGTATCTAAAGTCCTCACATCTTTAACACTTTATGGCTATACCACCAAAGAGCAGAATCTGAGGACCATGGGCCAGTGGCTTTAAGGCTGCCCTGAGATTCAATATAAAATACTTACACCAGACAGGCTGGCACACACCTTTCATTCCCAGCACTTCAGAGGCAGAGGCAGGCAGATCTCTGTGAACTAGACGCCAGATATATAGCAAGTTCCAGACTTGCAATATAATGAAAGCTGGTCTCAAAAAACAAAACAAACAAAAACACTATTATAAAGAGCTTCCTTAAATTTCATTAGTTTTCCAAGGACTCTAATCACCAAAAGCTCAAGAACAGCTGCTGGACATTGTAGCAGATGCTAAGGACATACATGATAGATACAGTAAGCTCCATTTTTAATATTACTGCTGCAAATGAGTTCTGTTAAGTGGGAAGCAGAAATGGATACAATTACTCAAATAGGCAACTTGGGAGGAAGCTGCTACTAATTTTAAGTCTAATCACTTCCCAAAATCATGCCAAACATAACAGAAAATGGGTTAGCTATACATAAACAAAATCACAAATTTCCAATAATGACAACACACAGTGAAATGAAAACCGTTTAATCACAGAAAACACAAATAAAAGCTCATGGAAGCATTACATAGTGCAAACACTCAGGTACAGGGTACTGTAAAAAGTTATACACGGACACAGTTCCCTCTGGCCTTGTTAGTAAGCTGCCACTCTTCTCAGTTTATTACCCTCATTTGCTACTGGCGACTACCCGACTGGGATGCAGAAATGCCCATTTCTGCACACCAGCAGAGCATCCTATGGCACCTACTCAAGTGCATGCAGATAGAATTCCTATACAGCAAGGCCACAGCAAGGAAGTTCCATCAGGATAGAATGTACTATCCAAACTCACACACATTTCTCAAAGCATCTGCAGACAATGCTTCCTAACCAAGAGCTTAGTGTCAAGGGAAGGTTAGGCATGTGGGCAGAAGACTTACAGCAAGCACCACAGACTCTGCTAAGCAGGCAGCAAGAAGAACTGCACTTGCTTCTAGAACATGAGGGATTTTCATTTTAAACCTCAGAGTAGTCAACCAAGACTACTAGCTTCTTCCATCTTCTTCAAGGCAGTAAGTTCTTAAGAGTTGCTCCCTATAATCTCCACAACAAACTGAGGTAGAAAGGGGTGGGTGTGTATGTTGGTTTTACAAGTGAGAAAAGCTGAAGCTTACAACTTTCAGACTATGCTACAAGCTGCTGGGTTCATCTTTCTTTATCCAAGAGGTACCAGTTCACAGCAAGACACAGTCAGTCTTGTTCAGATGCTGACTGAGAAACTTATACTGTGCCAAATGCTGAGAAGGCCAAGCACATTGCATTTTCTACTGTTATTTTAAAGGGGTGGGGTAGCAGTCTTACTGAAAGGGAGTGAACACTATGGAGAAAACAAGTGGGCATAAATTCCTCAGTGCTCAGACAAATAAAATGTGAACTAATCTGCACCCCATCACACACACAAAGGAAGCTCTGACTTCACAGCCTCCCTCCTCCCTCCTCCCTCCCAAGCTCATGGTCCTCTGCAAACACAACATTGCTCAGGACTGGCTGAAAAAGGATCATCTATAAGTACAATGCAGTTCTAACTGTCCAGAGTGACAGATGGCCTCTGGCATAAAAGTAACATCCAAATGAAGCTAACTTCGAACTAGGAGAGCGTAAAAGTAAGGGCGGGAGGGAGGGACAATGTCTATACACATCCAAGTACTTGCTGTTTAGAAATACAAAGTGCCTTTGGGTAACACAAGCTCAGATTGTCCCTCAAGTGTCACAACACAATGTTGCTCTTCAGTAAAGTACCTGCCAAACTCTAAAATCACTCAAGGAACTGTCCTGGTAGCTAGCACCAATTGCCTTTTAGCTTATCTCTGACTCCTCCATCTCAGGAAATGGGGAGTTCTACTGACTGCTGTACTCCTAGAAGGGACTAGAGGCTCCTATGCAAACACAAAGAAGCAGGGAAAGCAGCACCATGATGTAAGGTCGGTTTCTGTAACATCAGTCATTCAAAAGGCTACTGAGGATGGGTATGGTGGCAGATGCCTTTAGGTCTAGCACTCAGAAGGCAGAGACAAGCAGATCTCTGTGCATGTGAGGACAGCCTGGTCTACAATGCAAGTTCTAGGTCAACCAAGGGCTACACAGAGAGACTCTGTCTCTTCAAAAAAAAAGGGGGGGGGGCACTATTACAGGAAGATCAGATATAATTTATAGAATTTCTTTACCAATGCCACATTCACCAAAAATGGCATTACTTGGGATTGCACATTTATTACATCAAAGGATCTCAAAATGCCTACAAGACATTCTCCCACAGGAGAGGAAGGCTGGCAGCTCCTTTAAAGGAAGCAGAGTTAACTGCAGACAATGCAGAGCTGTCAACAGAAAGAACATCTCCAAACAAACAGGAAACTGTTCCCAAGCAAGTCTAGGGAATCACTTTAACGACTGGTCTCAGATGCTCATTTCCAGTTTAGCCCTAGAGGGATGGCTCAACAGTTCCTCTGTAAGCTTAACTGCAATTATCTGCTCATAAATCTAAGGGATCTGGTGACATAACCTCACCATTCCCTATGGCAGTGCAAACTTCCACCCACCTGTAAACATTGCACACTTTACTTTTGGCACAGAGGGCAGCTTCCAGGTTTGTCTTTGAAGTGAAGACTCTAAACAGCTAATTCTTTATCTAAAGATTTTTAGCAAAGGTAGCATCAATCTAGATAGTGTGCCCATACACGAATGGTTGGAGGCATCAGAAAATTATCTTTAGACTGAAACAACAATTTAGGCTAAAATAAAATAACAGTCACAGTATCTAAAGCCATGTACTTCTGAATTTCACAGAACAACATGGGAACAGGAAAAAAACAAACAGGTAACATTAAGGAACTGGGAACATTCACCAATTTCTCAATTGTAACTTTTCAAGGGAACTATTACATTGAACTGACACATAAATGTTACAAGTGATCCTGGCTTTCAGAATAAATTCTTTCAAACCATGCAAAGTATCACATACACCTACATATACACAAACAATTAATATATATCACACAATCACAAATGCTTGGCAGCAAACTGTGCTATTACACAATTCTGTGGCAGTTAGGAGGCTGGCCTGGCTGCTCCAATCTACCAGTTCCAACCTTCACTGGGAAATTTACGACATCCTAGATGGGCCAGGGAGGCAATAACACCTTTTTGCAGGCTTGGTCTGAACTTCTAGTCTGAACTTCTTTACCAATGCCACATTCACCAAAAATGGCATTACTTGGGATTGCACATTTATTACATCAAAGAATCTCCAAATGCCTACAAGACATTCTCCCGCAGGAGAGGAAGGCTGGCAGCTCCTCTAAAGGAAGCACAGAGTTAACAGCAAGCAGGCAATGCAGAGCTGTCAACAGAAAGAACATCTCCAAACAAACAGGAAACTGTTCCCAAGCAAGTCTAGGGAGTCACTTTAACTACTGGTCTCAGAAGCATACCAACAGTCATGAAGTCCTGTGTAAGGAACACACTAATAATCTGTCATCTCTGTTCTGCACTTCTGTCTAAGATAGCATGGTCACAAATACTAACATAAATGACAACCAAAGTTAAGAAATTTAACCAGCACATGCCAATAATCCCAACACTCGAGGGGCAAAAGCAGGAAGATCACTGCAAGGTTGAAGCAGCCTGAGAAGCAGGATGAAGCCCAGGGCAGTCATAGCTGAAGGGCAAGACCCTGCCCCAAAAATTAAGAGGAACATTGGGATGAAGTAAAACGACTTACTTTAACACAATCTGTTTTGAATATAGTGCTTGGAACTGAAAATCCTAAAGACCCAATTCCACTCAGAAGGAGGTCCATGTCCTGGCTAGGAAATGACTGGAGTCCAGGGCTGGATGCATCACAGACTGTTCTGAAGCAGGGGTTGTGATTGATGACATCTGTGGTAACCTCTATGCTACTTTGTTATTCTCACTGCCATCAAGATGTGGATAAAGATGTCTGTTATCAGTCTCTCAACGAGGCTGCACATCAAGCCAAACAGGAGCTGCAGGAGATCTGTAATAGCAATGACTTGACCACTGAGAAAAGGCAAATCCTACTTAAGTTTGCTACAATTAGTCAAATTATCAACTAGGAACAATGACAAGATATGGCTAGGAAAGAGCGCCTTTGGGAACTGGTGATCTGAGTGAGAATGGCCCACACAAGCTCATGTTTGAATATTTGGGAAGGATTAGGAGATGTGGCCTTGTTGGGAGAGTTGTGTTACAGGTGAAGGCTTTAGGGTTTCAAAAGTCCATGCCATTCCTGGGGTTCTCTCTCTGCCTCCTACTTACAGATCAAGATGTGAAGCTCTCAGCTGTTCCAGAAATTATGAATGCACCCTCTGAAACCATAAACCCAGTAAAATGCTTTCTTCTAAACTCTGCTTTGGTTTGGAGTGTTTTGTCACTGCAACTAAAGAGTAGCCAAGATACCAACCAGATGGTACCAGGAAGTGGGCCATTGCTGTGAAAGACTTGACCATTGTTGTTTTTTTTGTTTGTTTGTTTTTGTTTTTTGGGTTGTTTTTTTTTTTGGAGAAATGTGAAAAACTGGAATTTTGGACTAAGAAAGTGGTTAAAGCCTGGAAGATAGTAGTGCCAAGATCTGTGGAAGCCTAGTTCAAGAGGTTTCAGAGGATAACAATATTAGCAACTAGGATAAAGACTATTCTTGGGAAGTCTTGGTAAAGAAAGTGGCTACCTTCTTCTGCCCATGTCCTAAGAATCTGCTTAACCCTAAAGTGAAAAGGAATAGATTAATTCCTTTGACAGGAGACTTCCAAATAGCCAAATGCTGACTCTGGAGCACAGTTATTATTAACTGTTGTTATGCATATGGGGCAGAGAAACTATAACAGACATAGCTTCAAGGAAAGAACAGCAGGGAAGTTAATGTTGGGAACCAAGGCTTGCGCTCATAGAGGTAGAGATTAAGGAGAGTCCTGATCTGAAATGGAAAAATGCCCTCAGGATAAAATCCCACCCACCTGAGCTTCCAACTTGTGAAAGGAAAAGGCCCAAGGAATTTCCAGCTCCTAAAAAGTAACAACAAAGAAAAATCACAGCAAATGTGACTCAAAGAAGCCAGGTTCCTCCTAAGCAGGCAGCAGAACTTGGCAGTGTCATCTGGCTTTCGAGTCATGAAGGATACAGAAGTAAAGGAGTTGAGGACTCTTCCTCCACAGTTAAGGAACACCACTGAGGAGACTGTATATGTGGAGGTATCAGAGCCATGTGGTATCTGCCAAGGAGAGTTGCACACAAGACATGGAGTCAGAGGAAGTATGTTGAGTCAGCAAAGCAAGAAGGGTGGCTTTAGCTAAGCTCTCTGACATCAAGACATGGATGGAGTTACAGGGTTTGGAATCTGCTCTACTGAGTTTCAGTCTTGCTTTGGTTCATATTTCCTCACTCTACCCAGAATACAACTTTTTAGGATGGTGATGTATATTCTGTCCCATTGTGTGTTAGAAGAATATACTTTGCTCTTTTGATTTTGGTTTCAAAGACTCTGACTTGACTTTTAAGTTATGTCAAAACTAAAAGACTATGAGAAATGTTGATTATAATATGGCCAAAGTCTATAGGGGATAGGGAGTGGAATGTGGAGGTTTACATGAGAATGGCTACCATATACTCATGTTTGAATACTTGTCCCTCAGGTGGTGGAACTGTTGGAATAAGTATGAAACTGGGAGCAAGTTTTGGGGTTTTCCAGGGTTCTTTCTCTGCCTCCTACTTTCTCTCAGCTGTTCTGCCATTATGGATTCTAACCCTCTCAAAAGACAAGCCCAATTAAATGCTTTTATACTTTGCCTTGGTCATGGTGTTGTCACAGCAACTGAAGAATAACTATGGCCAGCGGTGGTGGCACACACTTTTAATCGCAGCATTCAGAGGGGAAAAGCAGATTCCTGAGTTCCAGGCCAGCCTAGTCTACAGAGCTAGTACCAGCACAGCTGGGACTGTTACACAGAGAAACCCTGTCTTGAAAAACAGCCCCCGCCCCCCCCAAAAGTAACTACTACAACTAATCCAATGGGCATTTGGTGGAGTCCGACTACTGGTAGAGCAGTGGGGTAGAAGGGAACATAAGGTCAATGCAAAATACACATGCTAACATACCTCCCCTTAGCAATAATTATAGAAGTCCCAATGGTCCTGGTCCAGAAGGGACATCATGGGATTGGATACCATGTATCTCCCCATTTCTGACAGCAGAAGATATAGGAAAGAAAGGCTGGGACAGCTAATGTCCCCCAAGTTCAATAGTAGTAGAGACTTGGGTCTTTAAAAAGATATGTTCATATCCCTGGGGAAACACCAACATCCCCCATGGTTTCAGCAGACATAGATAGGTACAAGGGCTTCAGTTTGAAGATCTTTGGTTTGTATATTGCTATTATATTGATATGGTCTAAAACGACTAAGCAGAATTAAAGATCAATTTGTTTCCCTCCCTTTTCACGGATGCTATGCTCCCTCTTCTCTCCACTTGTTCAAACCTTATCATAAGCCATTACGTCAAAGTGTAAACAATTCTAGAGGAACAGTACAAAAACACCTAGCCAGTTTCCAGGAGACAAAGTGTTGGCTACAAAGTTTGTACCTTCTTTTTGCTGTGCAGAGATGATCTAAAGCTGAGAGATTTCACCTGGGCATGGTAGGACAGACTGTATGCATAGCAAGGAGATGGGAGAGACAGGGTGATCAGGAGTTGAAGTCATCCTTCAACTAATACATAGTAAGTAACTACATAGTAAGTAACTAATCAGATTTGTTTCTTCGGTGCTGGCCCTAGTATTTTTCTAGTAACTACCTTAGATTTTGATGCCCCAGAACATTACATAACAGCAGGGTAGAGAATAAAATAAACTAACTGCATTAATTTGGCAAGTGAACATAAGAATGCATTGTTATATTTCTATTGGTATTATTCCTTCTCAGAGTTAAGATCTGGAAGGAGAACAAAGCGATTTATGTATCTCCTTATGTTAATGAAACCCTCAAACTGATCTTCTAAAATGCCACAGATGCTTATATAAATAAACACACACAATGGGTCACACTCATAAAAGATGCTCAATACTGATTTTTTTAAAAACAAGGTCTCATATGGCCCAGACTGCCATCAAATTAGGTGATCTTCTGCTCCTGCCTCCAACAATACTGATTTTTGAGAAATGACCTGATCCTAATATTTCTCTGCAACTGACTCGGCTATGCTATAAAAACTTTAATAACCAATTGAATCTGTTTCTTACAGGAAGGACATGAAGCCCCAGTCTTCTTTAATCTTCTGGCACATTGGAAACAAGTCGTTAGATGGCTCGTCCTCCCATGAATAATATTTCCATCCCGAGGCCTTTTTTCACATAAACTACACAGTTTCAAAATATTGTGATAATCTTCCATACTTTCTGTATCTATTTTCTGTTCGGAAAGGATATCTGCTTGTTCTCTCATGCTTGAGATGGTCTCTTGGCTTTCAGAACTATGAGCCAAATCCAAAAATTTCACTGAGTTACAAGGGTCAAACTTGGCATTTTCTTCCTTTAAATATGTATCTTTCGGCCTAACAACTGGAGCTGAGATGGTTCTCCGACAATCAGGGACATCAATTCCTTCATTATCTTTCTTTTCATGTATGGCAGTGATATTAGATGTGGAGAGAGAATGAGTTAATTTAGAACAATCCGAATACCAATCCTTCCTCAAGGCCCAGCAACGAAAACAGTATCTCTTGCTTGGAGAATTAAACTTCTTGCACTCCGTACACTGCCACTCATCCTATAAGAGGTTAAGTGAAGCCAATTAAAACTGTGGTAAAAAACAGATGCTATGTTCACCCTCACCACAGAAAAAACAAAACAGGAAAATAGTCTAAATTCTCATTTTACTAAGTATTTGTCTAGACATCTCATACCAGTGATCCAATCCGAGACCTCAAAAAATTCTACACTCACATGGAAGGAAATCTTCAGAAGTTTCATGCTGATAGTGCCACAACTGTTCTTTTTTGTTTTGGGTTTTTTGTGTGTGTGTGTGTGGGTGGGTGGGTGGGGGTTTGAGACAGGGTTTCTCTGTATTGTTTTGGAGGCTGTCCTGGAACTCGCTCTGTAGACCAGGCTGGCCTTGAACTCAGAGATCCACCTGCCTCTACCTCCTGCCTCTACCTCCTGCAATCTTGTCTGAAATGCTATATAAACACGCAAGACTGTCAGAATAATTTGGAATTCATAACTGATAGTATGCTACAGCTTAATTGCCATTTCTTTTTTTATAGTATATAAAATAACAGGGCTCATTAAGTCCAATGGAATTTTTGATTTGATGAAATATCTATTTGCTTAATAGCTTTTCTGTGCCCAAGTGTCACAGAAGTTTGGCTAAAATGAGAACATTATCTCAGCTATGTGTATTATGGTTAAGAACTCATATTAGACCAATTACGTTCCATTTTATCACTTATTTTTGTAAAGAGAGACAATTTACAAGGAATTACCATAACAGTCAACAGTAGTAGGGATAGAGGGTGAGAATCCACATCAGGGACAACCTAAAGTTTTATCCCCAAACAGCAAAATGTGAAAAACTCTTTTTATTTAACTCCTAGCATCTGTTTCCACAGTGAGTAAGCTACAGGGGAAACTTGATTTAAAGACAAAAACAAAAACAAACTTGGGGCTGGAGAAATGGCTCAGAGGTTAAGAGCACTGGCTGATCTTCCAGAAGCCCCAAGTTCAATTCCAACAACCATATGGTGGGTCATGACAATTTGTTATGGGATCTGATGCCCTCTTCTGGTGTACAGGCATACATGCAGACAGAGCATTTGTATACATACAAATTAAATCTTTTTTTTTTTAAGAAAAATTAGACATTAAGGTTGATTTAACTTGCCACTTGGCAACAACCATAAGACCTATTACCTAAAAGCTTAATATCAACTCTTCTTTAGTAACCCTTCATTTACATTAACTGTGTGGGAATTAATCTGCTTTTCAACCAGGATTTCTCTGTGTAGCTCTGGCTGTCCTGGAACTCACTCTGTAGACCAAGCTGGCCTTGAACTCAGAGATACACCTACCTCTGTTTCCTGAGTGCACCACCACCACCAGACTCATTTGCATCTTTTTAACAGATGCTGGTAAAATTGTTAAAGAATTTTACATAACATATATATCCGTCCTTAGGATAAGAAAGGTGTTCAAATGAGGCAAAGTAATGGAGGACTACTCTGGGTGTGTGGGGTGTGCAGTGGGGACGGGGTATTCAGTGTAGATTTGTGACTACAGTCAAAAATGTGCCATAGCATGTTCATGGAGGGTAAATTCAGGTCTTGTTCTTCACCTTCCACCTCGTTTGAGACAGGGTCCCTGTCATTTGCTATTGCATATATCAGGCTAGTTGGCCTATAAAGTTCCAGGAATTCTCCTGTCTCTCTTCCTTGCTGTCACAGACATGCACTACTAATCCTGCCTTTCATGAGTTCTGGGGATTCAAAATAAGGTTCTCATGCTTTCACAGCAAGTGATTTACACACAACCATCTCCCCATACTGTGCCCTGGTTTTGTTGTTGTTGTTGTTGTTGTTATTGTTTTTCGAGACACAGTTTCTCTGTGTAGCCCTGGCCAGCCTCAAACTCAATGATCCGACAGCCACCCGGTTGTCTTAAAGAGTTTTGATAGTGGAAACAGAGGTATTTGATTATCTTTCCCAAGGTAGGGAAAATATTAGAATATTAGATCAAGTTATTCTTTTATAGCCAGTGGTGGAGGCACACACTTTAATTTCAGCACTCAGGAGGCAGAGGTAGGTGGATCTCTGAAAGTTCAAGGCCAGCCTGGTCTACGAAGCGAGCTCCAGGACAGCCAGGGCTGTTATACAGAGAAACCCTACCTTGGGGGAAAAATATTTTATGTTCTCAAATTCCAATTAAAAACTTCTTAAGATGATGAAATGCAAAAAAACCAACACATCTTAGCAAGTAGGAGAAAAGGAGAGAGAGACAGGAAAAAAGAACAGTCTTCAATGCATGTGAACTAGGATTCAGCTAAAAATTAAACCACAGCAAACCAGCTTTTACCTCAGAGGTAAGCTCCACATCGGTATCATCACTCAAGGACTTGAGGTCCTCAGCATCATCATCTTTTCCCACTTCAGCCATCTGTGAACGTAAACAGACCTGGTTAGAAGCGTTAACCTATTTTATGAAAGACTATTAAAGCAAAAGCGATAAACAGTTTCAATATAAAACCCACTCTGTCCTACATCACTACCACTTAAAAAGGAGACAACATAAATGTCAGACCAAAACCTTGATCCTTTTGGAGACATATGGTTGACAATTTAGTGACAGTAATGAAGGAAAAGGAGCCACAAGGTTACCAAATATCTTCTATATTCAGAAAGAGGGGTCTAAATTCACAACTTCAAAAAAAACATATTCCAGGCATATAAAAACAGCAATTAATGGCCAGGCAGTAGTGGTGCATGCCTTTAATTCCAGCACCTGAGAGGCAGAGGTAGATAGATCTCTGTGAGTTCTGGGATAACCAGGTCAATATGGCAAATCTCTTATGAGTCTCCCTCAAAAGTTCAAGTATTTTCAGACCTGTTCTTTTATGTAAATATTTCCAAACTGTCAACTTCATTCTAGTCACCAAGATTCCTTCCAATGTTGGCTATAATTGGAAGTTTAGAGAATCTAACACTTATTTATAGCACGAAACCCAAATTACTACAAAAAACTATATGAAGATGGCCCAGTTTAACCCAGCATTTGTTTTGTTGTTGCCTTTATCCACTGCTACATTTATTCAGTGTTTTTTCTTTCATCTTTTTTGTAAAGATTTTTTTCAGCTAGTGTACAAAATGGGTCTTGTATGTTTTCACACATATAGTCAATGGGTATGACTAAGACATGTCTAGATGCTAAGCACTAGGTCTTTGTCCAATTCTTCTGACAACTAAACTGCTTCAATTGTGTGTGCTCATGCCATGGTACTGAGAGATCCAATTCTTGATTTTTGTTTGCTTATTTGTTTGTTTGTTTTTATAGTTTTTTCAAGACAGGGTTTCTCTGTGTAGCCCTGGCTGTCCTCAATCTCTGCCTCCCAGTGCTGGGATTAAGGTATATACCACCACAGCCAGCTCTAACTCCTTTTATTTTATGACTTTATTTTTAATTATGTGGGTTCATGAACACAGTGCCCAAAGAGGCCAGAAGGGAGCATTAGATCCCCTGGAGCTAGAGAAGCACTGAGTCACCAGACATGGGTGCTAGAAAGTGAACTCAAGTTCTCTGGAAGAGCAGCAGGAAGAACTCTGAAGCACTGAGCCAACTCTCCAGCTCCTATCCCCATACTAACTTTAAATCATACTAACTTTAAATAGAGTTTAAAAATTAGCTTTTTCCAATTTAGTGGTTACAAAGCTACCGAAGTTCTCAAAACATAAGGATTTTTCTCCTGTAACAGAAACTGCTGAGGCCATTTACAGTTTTGCCTTGTAAGCAAAAGTTTCTAGAAGAAATACTCTACAATGGACCATAGGAGAGAAGGGGCAGCAAGTCCCTAAAACAGCAAGAGCTTCTTCATGAAACTTGGCTCGTTTCTAAGGCAGCCTTGTCTAACTTAATCTACACCTGAAAACACACACAGAGAAATACTCAGCACCCGAACAGACAATTGTATGAAGACAGTCACAATCGCTAAAAATGTTCAAACATACCTTTTTGTCACTTGCTTTCCCTACTTCACTTGCTTGCTCAGAACTAGCAGCTTCAACTTTTATTCCAACACCTAATTGCTCTGACACTGACTCATTTAAAAACCACAGATCATCCGTAGTGTCTGAAACAATGGCAGTACCTATATCCTAACAGAGAAAAACAAGAGTGAGCTTTGAAATCAGTGACTTATGACAGATGCTGAACCAACTTAATGTCTTCACATGCCTCCAGAGAACACCATGCCTTTCTTCAACAGACATGTCTTCATTCAGTAGGTCTCCATTTGTCACCTTCCATGGTTACAAAATTTACATCTATAGGAACTGACAAGGAAGTTTTTAACACTAAATGAGGTATGATATACAAAAAATGGTACAAAAAGGGCTTAAAAACAGTTGGTCTACCAAACAAAATGCATTCAACAGTCATCTCCACAAGGGAAAATCTAGAAAAGTTCTATGCTTTCTGACATATACCTTCCTAATTTATGATCAGTAACTGTTTTCCAGTTACAGATGGCAATCCCACTCTTTGAACATGACACTTTTGAAAAGCAATTTCATTATATAGTCCTTGTGAACCTGGACTTCACTATGTAGCTCAGGCTGGCCTGAAACTTAACAGCTCTTAGAGCTGAAACTATACACATGCACCACCACAAAGCCAACATATACAAACTTAACTTTCACATTCATTTATAGACATGCTTTAAGGTTTTTGTTTGTTTGTTTGTTTTTGTTTTACGAGACAGGGTTTCTCTGTATTGTTCTGGAGGTTGTTAGACCAGCCTGGCCTCAAGCTCACAGAGATCCTCCTGCCTCTGCCTCCCGAGTGCTGGGATTAAAGGCGTGTGCCACCACCGCCCAGCAAGAATTTATTTTTATTTTATGTGTGTATGTGCTTTGCTGCATGCAGTGTCCAGAGGCCAGAAAAGGGGATCACTTAGAACTGGAGCTATAACAAGCTGTGAGGCGCCATGTGGACGCTCAGAACTGAAGCCTAGTTCTCTGCAGGAGCAGTAAGCACTCTTATCCTCTGAACCATCTCTCCAGCCCATTAGCCTTACAACATTTCCTAGAACTTTTGTGTTTTGCTACTTTTCTATGACCTTCTTTTAAAGACCACTCACTCGCTGAATGCATACCAGATACTATTCTAGGTACTCAGTAAGTGAACAATGCAAAAGCCTTGATCTTACATATCAATGAAAGTAAACAAACAATAATTACAAATATAAAAGCTGCTGGACAATGGTGACACATATCTTTAATCCCAGCACTTGGGGGGCAAAGGCAGGCAGATCTCTGTGAGTTCGAGACCACCCTAGTCTACAGAGTGAGTTCCAGGACAGCTAGGACTGTTACACAGAGAAACCCTATCTCAAAAAAATCAAAATAAATAATGAAAGAATGAATCAATCAATCAACCAACCAACCAATCAATATAAAACCTAACAGTGTTTCTATAAAGTGGCAAGTACAACTGAGAATATCAACTAAGATAAAAGCAAACCACAAATGATGAAAAGGAATGCTGGTAGGAAAATAAACTAATGCAGTCACACACATACACACAGAACAACAATAACAACAAAACAATGTAGTCACTATGGAAATCAGAGTGAAGGTTTCACATAAAACTTTTCTACTCTAGTATATACTCAAGCCCTATCATGTAGATAACCTGCACATCCATGTTTATTGCTGTACTTCTCACAACAGCTAAGAAATGGAACACCCTAGATGTTCATAAGCAAATGAGTAGATAAAGAAGATATAGTACCTAAAGAAAACAGAATCTTATTCAGCCTTAAGGGAAAAAGACATTTTTCAGGAAAACTGACGACCCAGAAGGCATTATGTTAAGTGAAATAAGCCAGACTCAGAAAGATACCCACTGAATGCTATCTGTCATATTCATGTTCTAGATTAATAGTGTGGGGTGTTATGAACTATAAAGGAAAAAATAGAGATACTAAGAGGTTGGAAGAAAGTCGTGGAATACATGTGACATGAAAATGAAAGGGGAGAAGGAACCACCAGGTGAAGGATACAGGGAGAGTGGAAACGAAGGATATTAAGAATGAAATAGGAGCCGGGCGTTGGTGGCGCACGCCTTTAATCCCAGCACTCGGGAGGCAGAGGCAGAGGGATCTCTGTGAGTTCGAGGCCAGCCTGGTCTACAGAGCGAGTTCCAGGACAGCCTCCAAAGCCACAGAGAAACCCTGTCTCGAAAAACCAAAAAAAAAAAAAAAAAAAAAAAAAAAGAATGAAATAGGAGACAAGTGGTGGTGGCACACACCTTTAATCCCAGCACTCAGGATCACAGAGGCAGGAGGATCTCTGTGAGTTCAAGGCCAGCCTGGTCTACAGAGTGAGTTCCAGGACAGACTCCAAAGCTAAAGAGAAACTCTGTCCCAATAAAGAAAAATAACAAAATAAAATAAAACAAAAAAGTATGAAATATAGTCAGTCAGGCATAGTGGCACATATCTTTAATTCTAGCACTTGGGGGACAGAGGCAGGCAGATCTCTGTAAGTATGAGGCCAGCCTGGTCTATGTAGTAAGTTCCAAGACTACCAAAGCTACATAGTGAGACCCTATCTCAAAACAAAAACAAAACCAAGATATATGACAAAACCAAGATATATGACAAAGCCAAGATATATGCTCATATGAACGCAGAGACGGGAGGAACAAGCAAGCACAGGGCCTGCATAGGTCTGGGCCAGCTGTGTACTTATTACAGATTTCAGTTTAGTATTTTTATGGGACTCCTGTGTGTGAACAAGTGAGTTTCTAATTCTGGTGTCTTCTCTTGGGCTCTTTTCCTTCTGTTGGTTTGCCTTGTCCAACTTTGATATGATGGTTTTTATCTTATTTTATTTTGTTAAAAAATATAAATAATAAAATTGCTAATTACTTATGCCACTGCTATCTTAAAAGTTGACTCATGTTCTGAATGTACAGCTTATTTGCTGACTCAGTTTTGTTATTAATAAAAGTATCTTTTACTCAAAAAAAGTATATATGGAAATGCCATAATGAAACCCGTTACTTTATATACTAGCTTTTAAAACTTAAAAAGGACTTACAAAAAAAAAGTTAAAGGAATAAAGTGGCTGGAGAGGAGGCACTTTTGAAGGTAGGTTTTACAGGGTTACTTCATAGAAGTACAATGCACATCAACAAAATAAGAAATGGATCCTCGCCGGGCGGTGGTGGCACATGCCTTTAGTCCCAGCACTCGGGAGATAGAGGCAGGCAGATCTCTGTGAGTTCGAGGCCAGGCTGGACCGATAGCCTCCAAAACAATACAGAGAAACCCTGTCTCATAAAAACAAAAAACAACAAAAAAAAAAGAAATGGATCCTTCTAGAATTATGCAACATAGTAATCTTGGAACTAGTGATGATGACCTCTAAAAACAAATTACATTCAAGTCAAGTTCTAAATCATAAGAAGGAAATAAAAAGATTTGGGGGAGAAAACGTTTCACAAGGCAGAAAACAAATTCAAATTGCCTAGGAGAGGAAGGAAATCAGAGCTTCGGGGTTAATGTTTTGTGTGTCTGGAATGCAGATAGTGAACAATGAAGACTGATAAAGACAAGCTACAGCTACGGTAAGGAGTCTAGACCTTAATCTATTTGCTTTCTGATCCCACTGAAGAATTATAAATGTAGTAATAATGGTAGTAATATAAGTTAGTCATTAAAAATTTACTCTTGCCAAGAACTCAGGAGGAGCTCTGAGTCTGAGACCAGATTGATCTACACAGGCCACACAGTCAGAACTATGTATAGACCCTGTCTCATAAAAACAAAAAACAAAAATGTACTCTGGGGAAGAAATTGATCAATGGTCTAGATGAGAAGAACCCTATAATACCAACTTATCAGGTGAGATGTGCTCATCAGTGTAATAATGGTCTGCTATGGGGGTAACCAACTGTCTCAGTTAGGGTTTCTATTGCTGCAATGAAATACCATGACCAAAAAGCAAGTTGGGAGGAAAGGGTTTATCTGACTTACACTTCCACATTGCTATTTCACAGCTGAAGAAGTCGGGACAGGAACTCAAACAGGGCAGAATCCCAGAGGCAGGAGCTGATGCAGACGCCATGGAGGAGTGCTGCTGACTAGCTTGCTTCACATGGCGTGCTCAGCCTGCTTTCTTTTTTTTTTTTTTTTAAGATTTATTTATTTATTACATATACAGTATTCTGCCTACATACCAGAAGAGGGCACCAGATTGAATTGTAGATGGTTGTGAGCCACCATGGGGTTGCTGGGAATTGAACTCAGGACCTCTGAAAGAGCAGTCAATGCTCTTAACCTCTGAGCCATCTCTCCAGCCCCATCAGCCTGCTTTCTTATAGAACCCAGGAATACCAGCCCAGGGATGACACCACACAAGTGGGGGCCCTCCTGCACTGACCACTAATTGAGAAAATACCTTACAGCTGGATCTCATGGAGCCATTTCCTTAGCTGAGGCTCCTTCCTTTCTAATGACTCTAGCTTGTGTCAGGTTGACACACAAAACAAGACAGTACACCAACCACTTCCTGATTAAACATGAGAACAGTTCCACAGGAGGAAATTCGTGCCTGGTCCTGGAACCCAAGACTGGAGAGATGGATGGCTCAGTGATTAAGAGTATCAAGTTCAGTTCCCAGTACTCACAGGCAGTTCACAACTCTACTTCCAGGACACCTAACATCCCCACTTCTACTCTGAGGGTAAGGGAACACACAATACATACATACAGAGTACACACACACATATATACACACACACAAAATAAGTGCTATTTTAAAAATCAAAAATATTAAAATCAAGAAATGTAGCTATGGTATGAAATTGCCCCACTACCTACATGAAACAGTAATGGGTTATGACAATTAAAGCAGTTTAATATAAAACAGGTTAGCTTCTGATGTGCTCTGGATAATGTCCTGACAACCTGAATACATATGACAGAGAAGGAAGTCAGTATCTCCTGTAGTTTGGCTAAAATTAATAAATAGAAAGAAAAGACAGGGAAGGAGTGCCCGGTTAAAAAAAACATCAATTTCATGTTTAAGGTCAGTATATATAGGGGTTCACTGTGGATTGTGGAAAGTCAGCATCATATTCAGACAGATAAAACAAAGCAGTACGCATGTTTAGCTAAGGATGCAATATAGTCAGAGTAAGCAAGAACAAAACAGCACAAAACAAAACAGGTTTGACTTTTACCTGATTTGTCTGTAAATCTGTCGAGCCATTACTTCTAGGTATATAGTTGTTTCTCAAGTTCCCCAAAAACCACCATGGCAGGCCAGCAACATCCCACTCCTCAAAGTCAAGGTCCAGCCTAGATGTCTCATCTTGAGTTAAATGTTCTATTAAGTCTTTATCTACAGAAATCAAATGAAAATAACTATAGGTAATAAAGACCACAAAGATTTTCTCAGAACACTTAACAATCTTTGTAAAAGTAAGTAAAAAGAAACTCCTATTTTCAGTAAGAAAAAAAAACAGAAATAAATATCTTAGTGGCATGGCTCAAAACTCCCATTTAGGTTTCATCAGTAAGTAATATTACGAACAGAAGATCACTTCAGGACACAGAACTCTAAAAAGCATCTGAACACAATGTTCTAAAGAGATTTCAAAAAATGACCATTTTCTGAAATTTTAAACATTCCTAACAATGAGAGTCAGGCATGGTAGCACATGTCTACCTTAATCCTAGCACATAGCAAATTCCAGGTTAGCCAGGGCTTCTTAATGAGACCCGGTCTCAAAAACAGATAATGATAATGACTTAATCTAATACGTGTCTTGATAATGGCTTAGCCAGTGGATTGCAAATGGTAATGATGCAGTAGCCCAAGCCCTGAGATCAAAGCAGGGAGGTAAAGATCCTAACGAGGAGTCACAAGGTTGAAGTCTTACTGGTATCACAAATCTGGGATATTTATCAATAATGCATATGTTTTGTTAGGTAACAACTGTCAACAGAACTCCCAACTGTTCAAATAAATACATATATATGTGTGTTTTTTGGATCAAGGGCTCCTTAAGAGATCAGTATCTAAAAGTACTGCAGATGACAAGGCCCCACGTATTTTTTTTTTTTTTGGTTTTTTTGGAGACAGGGTTTCTCTGTATTGTTTTGGAGGCTATCGGTCCAGCCTGGCCTCGAACTCACAGAGATCCGCCTGCCTCTGCCTCCCGAGTGCTGGGATTAAAGACGTGCGCCACCACTGCCTGGCGGCCCCACGTATTTTAAGTAAAGACCTAGACAGTAACTAAGTTCATTCTTGTAAGTAATCTTTTCTAGTCCTCTTAGTACTTGACCCTCACTGCACTTCCTCACTATTTTCTACCCCTTCCCAATGTACTGGATCTGATGATGGCAATCACAGAAGCATAAATGTGCCCAGGCACATACAATTCAAACATTTCTGAAATAAACTGGTCCCTGCCAGAGTACAACTAACTAATTACATTCTGCTGTTATCATAGACATATTTGTGGCCAGAGAAACTTCAATTACATTTTCCTCCATTCATTACTGTAATGATCAGAAACTAATTCCCAAGACAGAATCACTAAAGATATCCTGAGATATTCAAACTCTACAATTTATTATGAAAGGAATATGAATAATACTTTCCATAGATAAAAATGATGTCCTTTCTATTGATACATCTTCCTGGAAATTCTGGAACTATTCATTCCTAAATTTCTATCACAAATTGCATATAGTATCTTGAACTATTATTTTAAAAAGCTTTTTGTGAACAGAAATAAGGATTTGATATAAAAGCACACATTAAAAAGACTAAAATAGCCGGGCGTTGGTGGCACACGCCTTTAATCCCAGCACTCGGGAGGCAGAGGCAGGCGGATCTCTGTGAGTTCGAGACCAGCCTGGACTACCAAGTGAGTTCCAGGACAGCCTCCAAAGCCACAGAGAAACCCTGTCTCAAAAAACCAAAAAAATAAATAAATAAAAATAAAAGACTAAAATAGCTTTAATGTAAACACATAGATTAAAAATCAATTTATGTTCAAATAGTGAGAAAACAAGCCAGCATGATGAACTAATTTAAATTTAATTTAAACATATTATAAAACTTTAGCAACATAACTTTCTAAGATACAATCCAAGTCTAATCTGCCTTTGACCCAATTATGAACCAGGAACCAGATACAAGAAAGCATTATGCCATAAACTAAATACCTTTGGGGAAAATTGTGGTTTTATACAAAAAAGAAAAAGAAAAAAGGAAAAACTCCAAAATTTCAGAAAATATTTTAGGCGAAACTTCCAAATTATCAGTTACCTCACTCCCTCTGACCATGTGTCTAGCAGGATGAAAGGTTCTCCCATGGCAACAGAACTACTCAACTTGCTATCTCATGTTTGCCTCTATGCTGTTACATACATTGTGCTGATACATATATTTTGCCATTTTTGCAAACTTTAAACGATTAAAAACTAGTTGCCACCTCAAAAGATAAAAGCCAAGTCAAAATATGAAGTCTACAGAGAGCGACCAAAACTCAAAAGGCTGAGCACGGGGAGTCTATACCCAAAGAACGTGACAAGAGCAAATTCAAATCAGCAGCATCCTCTCAAGTTTGCTAGCTCATGCAAGGGTCCTGTACTACTCGCTGCTCAGAGCTGCCAAAGAATATCTAGATGGACACCTGCTGGAAGCTGTGCAGCCTAGTTTCAGACCAGCACATGAGTGCTCGTCCAACGGGTCCCCAGATGAGGCAAAATCCCACAAGGACAGTCTCGCGCGGCAAGGACCAGTGGACTTCGGGACAGCACAGAATGCTCTTTTCTCTCTCATAATACTCAAGATTCTCTTGGCAGTTTTAGTGTCATACTGTCAGTCATGCATGGGACAGATGTGATCATTCCTGGAAAGCCTACTTTTTCTCAAAATTTTCCCCTGAAATTCTTTAGGAACTGATACTTAGATTTCTTGTCTGGAGATGGCAGCCATCACTTCAGACCCCAGGAGCTGTCTGATTCAGTGCTGACAGGATGGAAGCAGATCCAGATCACCCCTATTTCTGTAAACATGTTTTGAATGGATTACTGCTCTTGAAAATGTGTGCCTATATCAATCATCTTTTAGTCTTATAAATACCTGGTTCAATATTTGACTAAGCTAGCAAAATGATAAGAGTTGTTTTTGGTTTAAAGATGTTTTGATGTAAAAGTTAGGAGTTTCACTTGTGTGAAACTCATCTGGTATTTCTTTTTTTTGTTGTTGTTGTTTTTTGTTTTGTTTTGTTTGTTTTTCGAGATAGAGTTTCTCTGTGGCTTTGGAGGCTATTCTGGAACTTGCTTGGTAGTCCAGGCTGGTCTCGAACTTACAGAGATCCGCCTGCCTCTGCCTCCCGAGTGCTGGGATTAAAGGTGTGCGCCACCAACGCCTGGCTTCATCTAGCATTTCTTAATGCTGACACCCCTTCACCTTCTCAGGACCTGAATCCAGGCTGCAGCAGGACCACAGCAGATGCCATTTCTAGAAGTACAAATGAAGGAGAAAAAAGGAGGGAGGAGAAGTCTCAATCCAAAGCTTACCTCCTCTAGAATCTCTGCATTTATGCTGTGAGGTAGGCAGTGTAAGAGCATCATCTTCCTCAGTTCTTCTTCTGGAACTGGAGCACTCTGTTGCACTGTGCTGCAAGGGAAGGGTGTCCATCAGTACAGCAGAAATGACTAAGACCAGGGGATGTAGCAGTTCCATTCTGGCTCACCAGTTAGTGTGCAACACAATGGGTTATGCACAAGAAAGAGAGCTCTGCAGCTGACAAGAGTTGTCAAGAAAGCAGCACAACACCTCTCAACACCACGAAAAGAACTAGCAGAATCCCAAACTTGGGAGAAGGGGAATAATCGCTGTACAAAGGACAAAATACACTCTTAATAAAACAGGTTGTCTACCCGGCCTATTTCGTATTAGTTATAATTCAGAAAACATGTAACATCCTCACCATATTCCAAGATGATCTTAAAGATTCCCCAGGTTTGAGGAAACTTTAGGAAATGGCATGACATGAACTTAAACTGCAACGAGCCTGCTACAGTCTAATACAACAATTCCTCAAAAACCCAAATATGTACCACCTCAAACATATGCATGCGCAAACACATTCACACTCCACACAGACACACACACACACAGAGACAGACAGACAGACAGATAGGGAGAGAGAGAGACAGAGAAAGAGAGAGAGCAACTGGAAGAAGTGAAAATCAGAAGTGCTACATCCCAAAGACACATTCAGAGACTGGAACTCTGTTAAGGGCAGAACAGAGAAGGTTCACTCTGTCCCTGGTCTGTGAACTCCCAAGGACTTTTCTTACTAAATTCTTACCACATTCATGAAAAGGCCTTGGGAGCCCAAGATCCACAGGTACAGAGAAGGGGCCACTCTGTACAAGAAAAGAAGTCACCGTGTGGTGATTTTACCTTCAGTCGGTCTTGACTTGGAATATCCATACTGTGATCCTGTGCGAGAGCGAGAGTCTGAGCAGCATCTGGATAGCAAGTAAAACAAAAGGAAAACCTTCCCTGGTAATAACCATTCTTTCCACAAAACCTCAGCAAACAGCCCTGAGGAGGCTTCTTCTCTATAGATGGACTTCTGCCTAGAAAAGACTCTCATTCCCAAGATGGGGGAAAAAACCAAAACTGCTAAAAATAACAAAAACCAAGACAGGCCATGGTAAAAGAGAATGCCAGAACAATTGTGGGAGTAAAAGCGGCTCTGTACGCCCTTCCATGGCACGTGTTCAGATCTTATGCAAAAAGTGACCTCAAGCAGAAAACAATGCAGTGTTCATCTCTTCCTACATCAACAAACTGCCTACCTTATGAAGAGCAAAGGTCACTTCTTTATTTTACTTTGTAATTTTAAATGTTGTATTACAAGATCTGAAAACCAGAAATTTGCCAGACTTGTTACAGAAAACAATTCCATCTCAAGAAGCAAACCTTAAACTGCATTCCAAACGCCAATGGTGACTTCAGGATCTGAATTCCATTCCCCTGAATACAGACTGTCACTAAGTCTTATTCTTCTCAGTGATAGCAAACATGTTTCTCTCTGAACAATCAACAGAAGCAGAGAGAAAAGGGAGAGGAGAGAACATAGCTGAGAGAAATTCCTTATTTTTAGATTTTTCTTATCTACTAGTATTGTGTATAATGGGCACTCCTGTCACACTTGCATTATGAAGCTCAGAAGACAACTTTGGGAGTCAATATTCTCGTTCCATAGTGGGTTCAGGTCATCAGACTTGCACAGAAAGTCCTTCAGCCTACTGAATCATCTAACAGCCCAGACAGACATCCTTATATTGCATTATCTAAAGAGGGAAATGTATCCCAAGGACTTACAAAAGTATCAAGTGAAACAAAACCTAAAAACTTGGCTACAGAAAAAAACAAGCTACTGAGAGCTAGCTAACCTGACCTATACCAATACTATAACCTCCGGGTAACTGAGACACATTCACATGCGCCTGCTAAGGACTGGGTTCACCAGCCACTAGCAGAGCCATAAAGACACAGCCACAAAAACAGCAGTAGCATCCAACTGACTGCTGAGAACCCAGATCTAGACTCTAACTACTTGACAATTCAGGAGTTTTGCACAAAATAAACATTTTTCAAAATTGTAACATTTTGCCAGGTGTGCCTTTAATCCCAGCACTCAGGAGGCAGAAACAGGCGGTAAGTTCAAGACCAGCCTGATCTACAGAATGAGTTCCAGGACAGTCAGGGCTGTTAGACAGAGAAACAACTGTTTCGAAAGAAAAAAAAAAAAAAAAAACAACCTGTGGTTACTCTTATTACTAAAAAGCCTATTATCTAGAAAACTTCAATGTAGAAAGAAATTTTAAAATTATTTCATTTTATTAATATACCTAGGGATAGTTGGAGAAATTGTTTAGAAAGAACCTTCATTTTAAATAATGACCATTTTCTTCAACATCAAAATAAAGGTCTAAAATCACGTGCAATGGTACAAATAAGAAAAGCACTTTTTCTTTCATTTCTCCTTTCAAATAAACACATGCAATCCAATTTATTTTCAGGTCAACAAAACATCCAACCACAGGCACTAACTACAAAAGCAAGTCAGAGCAGACAATCCAAACTCCTTGCACAATTCCCTACGGGACCCTACATGCATACATAAAATTTTTAAACCTTGAAAAAGCTTCTTGCAGCAATTTCCTAGGGCATCATTATGCTAAGGTTATGATACATATTGTCAGTGAGGGAATCTGGGTAAAAAGCATGCTAAATACTGAATACTTTTTCTTTTTCCCTGAAACTACGTAGCCCACAATATACTAGAACTTTAGATCCTCCACCTCTGCCTCCCAAATAATGGGATTACAGGTATTCACTACTCTGTCAGGGTTTTGTGGCTTTTAAGTACAAAATTTCTTCATAATGACAAGTAAAAAAATTTTGATAACTTAATACTCAGAGGAAAAATGTGCATCCAAAACAACTAGGAGGGTGGAGAAAGTTCTGTCAGAGTTAAGAAGGGTAAGGACATATCAGTGTGTAGCATAATGGATAGTATAAGAACTGGTCAATGGCCAGTGACCTTGAGTCTGGTACTGGGCTAATCACTAACATAAAACCTTTTGTTTCTTTACCTCTAGGACCTCTTCACAGGGTGGCTGTAAAGATGAACTGAATTGATAGAGAAATGTTGTTTATACACTATAGAGAAAGATATATGCAGAGAAAGTACAAGAAAGAAAATAAGAATACTCTCACTCTAAATATTCAAAGGATGGATCAGAAAACAAATTTAACTGAATATACAAATCAAAATTATAAAACCCTTCATGTATTTCAAGCCACCAGTGAGTTTCCAAAGAAAGTGTTAGTTCACAAATGACTACATTTCAATAAAGTTGCCTCTCGTTTGAAGTTCCCCCTCAGTGTCTTTCACTGACATGAAAAGAGATTTAGAAAGACTCTTTGCAGTCTATTTACTTCCAAGAACATGAGCAAAATCTAGTGAGATAGTGTAATTTGGATGGTGTACTTCAGATCTAAATGAGGCAAATAGGAGAGGAGACAGTTTCATTGTCCAGAGTGAGAGTACCACACATTTTAGTACCATCTCTACCCGAGCACTTTGGAAAAAGACTCCAAAATAGCCAGTTTTCTCCTCATAACTAAATAAATCCAAAAACAACATTTAAAAGGCCTGGGAAGAGTCAAATTGGTTTACAGATAATAATTTACTGAGCCAAGTATAGCGGCTCATGCCTGGGATCCCAACATTCAGGAGGTCAGGATAGGCAATATTTCCAAGATTGAGGCTAGCCTGGGGTACATAGCAAGTTCCAGGCTAACCTGAACTACAACATGTAACTCCATCTCATAAATAAGAAATGTGTTATGTAAACAAATGACTAAAATCATTAAGGTGAAAAGTTTTGAGGAGAACCTTTGTAATAGACAGATCAGACCAATACTACCAAGAGTTCACAGAATCACATGTGAACGAGGGAGCGGCTTACATAACTAACATGAGACATACAAAGGGGAGGAAAAGGAAGTCCAAAGCACCATCAATGACCATCTGTCAGCAAAGAAACTTAAGCTTGAATCTAATCAAGCTTTACACTAAAACAGCAATGGTAAACAAACACAATTACAAGGATACAATCTGTCAATTCTAGAACACAGGCAATACTATAGAACAAATTACTCAAATCTTCAACAAATACAATGAAAACCAAAATAAGTATCCCATACCAATAAGGTGGACACAGCAATTTACCGAATATTTCAATAGCTAGAAGTTGAGATTTTCAAATGCCTCCCACATACAAAAAAAAAAGTTAAACGTGAGATGGTAGGTATGTTAAGTTATTCCAAATTGATTACTGAACATTCTGTATGTGACAAAATACATGGTACCCCAGAAATATGTACAATATTACATGACATTCAAAAAAAGGTATCTATTTAATGTCAAACCAAATCTCTCACACACACCCAAACACACAGGGACAGGTAAGTTTTTTGTTTTTTGCAATAATCCCAATGCAGTGTATGGATTTTGGATCCTCACCTGAACAAACCAAAAATAAAGGGCATTTTTAAGATGAGTGAGAGGAAAAACAAACTATAAACCAGTTTATTCAATAGGACTAGGGAACATTTATTAGTTTTATTATTACTTTTGAGTACAGTAATAATATGGTTATGTTTGAAGAGAAAAGATCCATATCTAAGAGATTATTTAAGTATATAAAGATGAAGCAAATATAATGCAATGTTTATATATAATTACTAAATTTAAGCCTGGTCTGCTTCCACAGACCAGGAAATAGAGCTTCTGGGAAGACAGAGGTAGGGGAATCTACAAATTCAAGGCCTGTATGGGCTACAGTGAGTTCAAGGCCAGCCTAGGCAACTTAAGGAGAAACTGTCTCAAAACAGCAAACAGAAAGCTAGAAATGTAGGTCAGTGTTAGAGCATATGAATACAGACCCTAGGCTCAACCCTCTGTGCCACATAAAGGAAAAAAAAAACATCTAGGATGCAAACATCTCTCCTCCTTCTATCTTCCGTATGATTTATCAGTAAGAACTTACTTAACAGTAAAACCATTCTGTATGATAGTCATGTCAGACAGTAGTACCCTTTTTCATGTTGGCCCTTATTCCCACCAATTGCTCCCTTAAACTCCAAGCTTGAATACAGACTGAAGAAACATACAACATACCTGTGTTAACAGGGGCTGATGTGACAAGATTCTTTCTCAACATATCATAAAGAGGGCTGAAAAAGAAACAAATATTTGTGGGTTTTTTATTATGTATTAAATGTACCTGTGATATGTTACTTTCCTACTTTCTCTTAGGAGGACACGATCTTTTCCCACAATTTTTTTTTTTTTTTTTTTGGTTTTTCGAGACAGGGTTTCTCCATATTGTTCTGGAGGCTATTCTGGAACTCGCTCTGTAGACCAGGCTGGCCTCGAACTCACAGAGATCCGCCTGCCTCTCCCTCCCAGCTACAATTTTTTCTAAATAATTTAAGTATTAAGAAGGAGCCAGCTGGGCGTTGGTGGCACATGCCTTTAATCCCAGCACTCGGGAGGCAGAGGCAGGCGGATCTCTGTGAGTTCAAGGCCAGCCTGGTCTACAAAGTGAGTTCCAGGACAGCCTCCAAAGCTACAGAGAAACCCTGTCTCAAAAAAACCAAAAAAAAAAAAAAAAAAAGGAGCCAGACATAGTAGTGCTCCCCTTAAAGCCCCAGCATTTGGGAAGTTCAGGCTGGAAGATCAAGTTCTTAGCAACATACTGATTTTAAGCCTACCAAAGGCTAATGTGAGACCCTATTTAAAAAAAAAACAAAAAGAGCCTGGTGTTGGTGGCGCATGCCTTTAAGACCAGCACTTGGAGGCAGAGGCAGGTGGATCTCTGTGAGTTCAAGACCAGCCTGGTCTACAAGAGCAAGTTCCAAGACAGCCTCCAAAGCCACAGAGAAACCCTGTCTCAAAAAAAAAAAAAAAGAAAAAAGAAATGAATGTCCAGCCCTCACTATCTTTTTCCAATAAAAATTTGATCAAATTCTATTAACTATTAGTAACCCAATTGGGGAGAGTGTCTTTGAAAATTATTCTTTCCTTCTAGATGCCAAGTTTTATATCTTTTGATTAAGAAATGGAAGTGCGAAAGGAAGCTTTATCACTGTTAAGACAAAATAAGATGGGAAGAAAGCAATCACTACTCAGAGGGAAACCACTGGGGGGTGAGAGGGGGGCATCGATGGCTCAGTTGAAGAGCAGACTGTTCTTACAGAGAAACAGTTCAACTGTCAGCACCCACGAAGGGGCTCACAACCATCTGTAGCTTCAATTCCAGGAGATCTGAAGCCCTCTTTGGCTTCCTTTAGCAAACATATATATGGAACGCAGACACACACACACGCTGGCAAAACTTCATACATATGAAATAAGACTACTAAAAAAAAGTATTTTAAGAACACTAGCTCGGGCTGGAGAGATGGCTCAGAGGTTAAGAGCACTGACTACTCTTCCAGGGGTCCTGAGTTCTATTCCCCAGCAACCACATGGTGGCTCACAACCATCTACAATTCAATCTGGTGCCCTCTTCTGGCAGAACACTGTATGTGTAATAAATAAATAAATAAATAAATAAATAAATAAATAAATACATTAAAAAAAAAAAAAGAACACTAGCTCACTAGCTTCAACCTGGGCAGTGGTGGTGCATGCCTTTAATCCCAGCACTCAGGAGGCAGAGTCACATGGATCTTGGTGATTTCTGAGACCAGCCTGGTCTACAAAAGCTAGTTCCAGGATAGGCTCCAAAGCCACAGAAAAACCCTGTCTTGAACCCCCCTACCCCATCCAACCCCACCCCACCCACAGCAAAAAATAAATAAATAAGAACACTAGCTTCTAGACTACCAACTAGCTTAAAAGGATAAGTCAATGACCCTATTTTCCCCCATGTAAGCAGAAAAGACCTATGGGTCAAATTTATTTTTCTCGATTCTTAATGGGCTCACCATTAACCTCAAATTACCCTGTAGTTCTGTATTTTCTCATCAACTCCTTTCTGTCTAATACCACAGAAACTTCTAACCTAGTACTGACTCCCTCTTACTCAACCTGCATTCTAGATATTCAATGAGAAGCTCTCCTTCCAATCAGGCCCTTTAAAAACTGCTCCAGCTCAGCTCAAATTTACTTTTTAAGGAACCTATGACACTCTAAGACCCAGCCATTTCCCATTTCATGTACTTCTCTTCTACAGCTCTTACTGTCATGTAATTTTACCATGTATGAAGACAATTACTATACTGTATTACCATCATATCAGACTGTCCACACTGTTCACTACTAAACTTTGCATGTATCTCATTGGCTATAGAACATATATAACATATGCAGCCCCTAAAATACTTACTTAAAAAAAAACTATACAGCTAGACTGAACAAGTATAATAAGCACTCAAAGAAACATAAACCCTCACCCTTTTTACCTTGGATCTTTCACAGAAAAACTCTGACGTCCAAGCAGATCTCCCAAAAGATCTCCACCACAATATACCATATGTTGCTCCTGTTGATCATAGAGCTGCTTCACCATTATATACTGGCCTAGATAGTGCATTACCTACATGAGAGAAAAACAAAACACCATGAAATGAATGATCTACCTGACTACTAACCAAACCACAATTACCCATGAGTGCCTGAGACATTTTGCTAATGAGAAAGACATACAAACTACAAAACTGCCAGTGTTTGGGTGCTGATATGAGCAATCCCACACAGGACAGATGTTTCCTACCTCTCGGTTCATCTACTCATCCATCCACAGAGCCAGAGGTTTTTGCACCAAAATATATTGATCTGACAGTGAAAAAACATAGCAACTCAGTATTCTATTGACAAATGTCCAAAGTTTAATGGATCATTAGTCCTAATATAAAAGCCAGAGCTGGGTGGTGGTGGCACTCACCTTTAATCCCAGCACTGGAAAGACAGAGGTAGGTGATCTACAAACCCAGTTCCAGGCCAGCCAGAGCTACACAAAGAAACCGTGTCTTGAAAAAAATAAAACACTCCAAACAGAATCTAGTCTACCTAGCTTTTTCTTTTCAGGCTTCAGAAACTCATGATTCTAAACTTGAAAAGTGCTCTTTTATACATAGATGAAGCATGTCACAGAACCTTTATTGTATTATCTAGGTTGATATACTGCTTGCCAATAAATTTTCTGATAAACGGAAAGGGAGGGAATGAGAGGGAAAAGGGAAGGGATGGGGACAGAGATATCTACTGAAATATTTTTAATGCTTCATTACTTCCTCTCTGCCCTCCCACCTGACCCTGAAATGTTTTTTAAAGGTAGGTTAAAAAAAAAATCAAATTCCGGATCTCTGTGAGTTCGAGGCCAGCCTGGTCTACAAGAGCTAGTTCCAGGACAGCCTCCAAAGCCACAGAGAAACCCTGTCTCAAAAACCAAAAAAAAAAAAAAAAAATCAAACTCAATAAGTAAGCTCTTGTTAAATATCACAAGTCAAAGACATCTGTAATCTCTGTAGTAGTACTGATAGACGTGGCATTTCTAAAGAAAAACTGAAAGAACTCCATAATTTTGTTTTCTGCTTAGGAAAGGTGAAGGATCTACCATACTAATCTAACTATTCGAGTCTATTAATATTTTAATACTACTTTCTACTTAAAAAATTCAATGTACTTTGATAGCTTTAAAAAAAACTTCCAGATCCTAAGTAAATTATTTATTCTTAAATGTTCAAATTGACTAAATGATTCAGTGTTCACAAAGCATCTGACAAATGTACAATGACAAAATACTGTGCCAAATTCCTGCCTGGCAAGCCAGGTGGTGGTGGTAGTGGCAGAGGTAGCGCAGGCCTTTAATCCCAGCACTTAGGAGGCAGAGGCAGGTGGATCTCTGTGAGTTCAAGGCCAGCCTGGTCTACAGAGCTACACAGAGAAACCTATCTCAAAAAACAAAAAACAGCCGGGCGTTGGTGGTGCACGCCTTTAATCCCAGCACTCGGGAGGCAGAGGCAGGCGGATCTCTGTGAGTTCGAGGCCAGCCTGGTCTACAGAGTGAGTTCCAGGACAGCCTCCAAAGCCACAGAGAAACCTTGTCTCGAAAAAACAAAAACAAAAAACAAACAAAAAAATCTGAGACATTTTTTAAACCCATACATGTAACATTTGCACTCCCATGTCAGTGATTTATTTGTGGTTGATCTCACACTCACACACACACACATACACTTTCACACACTTCAAAAGGAACTCTAAGGGAAACAGGAAGTCAGTGAGACAGTCTTTACACCAGCAAAAGCCCTCCTTTGGTAGTACAACTTCCTTTCTTAGCCCAGATTTCAGAACTGTGCATATGATGGCCTCTACTCAACTGTTCTTAAAATTGGGACTGTCTTTGATGGCTTACCTCCTTCATGGTGAATACTTCTCCTTGAGCACCTGCTGCCTGTAAAATCTTCAGAAGTGGTAGTTTTGGTCGTACCTGCTGTAAAATATGAAGACAGAATTTTGACCTGGAACTTACTATGTAGTAGAATATGACCTTGAACTCTGGATCTTCCTGCACAAACCCATCATAAAGTTGCTATTTATATTTCAATTACATTGCTTTCTGGAAAATCAAGAAAGAAGAGATCTTCCTTTAAAGGTTAAAAAAAAAGCTGGGCGTTGGTGGTGTACACCTTTAATCCCAGCACTTGGGAGGCAGAGGCCCTGGATCTCTCTGTGAGTTCGATGCTGGGCTGGACTGACAGCCTCCAAAACAATACAGAGAAAGCCTGTCTCGTAAAAACAAGACACACACACACACACACACACACACACACACAAGAAAGAATCAAGAAGATCCAGTACTCTTCAGTAATTCTCTACTTCCTATTAATTTAGATGGAAATTAAACTCTTCAGGTGGAAATGAATCCATGAAATTCCATTCCAATCTAGCTGTACTGGCCAGAAGACAGAGCACTGAGTAAGGAAAAGAAGCAATTTTTACCATGAGCTAGCTATCTGTGAGTGGCAAGAATGAACAAGGCAGCTATGACTATGGAATGATAGATAATACACGGATTCTACTCCTTAGAACACATTCTAGGCATAAGCCTGAATAAAACAATAATTAAGCACCTCCAGGTAAGAAAGTTCTACAATCAACTACCTACATTTCTGAGTAATAAAGATTCTTCTGTATAGGGAAAAGCAAATAAAAAACAAAAACCCAAGGCGGCTGGGGATATAGCTCAGTTGTAGAACACTTGGCTAGCATGCATGAGGCCTAAATTCAATCCCTAGCATAGAAAGGATAGGCAAAAAGACAGAAACAAAATTTACAGAATGGGACCAGCTTAAATTAACTCTATCTCAGGTGGGTGGTGGCACACGTCTATAATCCCAGCACTCAGGAGGCAGAGGCCAGCCTGGTCTACAGAGTTCCTGTCTCAAAAAACAAAAAAATTAACCCTATCTCTGAAAGACAAAACAGGCTGATGAGTCTCAGAGATAGGGTTTTATCTAAATCAAACGAATTTTATCCAAATTTGTTTGAATAAGCACTAGGAAAAAATAGATGTCATCTTCTAGATGCAACAGTCTGAGATCTTGCAGAGCCAGTAAATTTATAACACACTATTGTATTATAGGACTGGAAAGCCTACTTTTGAGTTAGCTTCAACACTCCCTCATTGTTATGCAGTAAGCAGACAGGTGCAGGCATGGAGTTTGTCTCCCCCCCCCCCATGAACAAGACAGATGAGCTACAGCTTTTCTACTCCACTGCAGGGAGACCTTCTACACAGCTGCAGCTGGCTCTGGAATGTAGGCACATAGCCTTAATATGCCCTTCGTCTTCTACTTTCTATTTAACATATGTGAATTATGTCTCAGAGTTTGGACAATGCCAAATGCAAATTCTCCATTAAGGAATATCACAGTGTGCCTGATTTTTCCCAACTAAATTTTGTATAGGTAAAGGTCCCCTGGCTAAGGTCTCAGTGCAGACAGGCTGGGTCCACCTGCAGTTGGAAACGCTAAAATCATCCTTAAAGTACCATGTCTTTTTTCATGGACCCCTGTGACCACACACCCATTCTACAGCACTCCACAGTTTGCTCCATGCTATATTAACTTCTATGCCAACCCACTATATCTAACACCATCATTTCCAAACACTTAGGAGGCCCAGACTATAACCTATTACTCTACTTCAAGCTGGCCCTGTAGCATGTCCATGTTATACAATTCCATTATGTTTTTATTTTTGTTTTATTTAAAAATAGGGTCTCTCTATTACTATGTAGCTCAGACTGGTCTCAAACTCAGAGATCCATCTGCCTCTGTCTCCTGAGTACTGGGATTATAAAACCCTGCACCACTCCATCCAACCCAATTTTGTTTTTAGATTGTGTATTACCAAGTTTGTATTTTTTCCTTTTATAGCCACTTCAGCACTAAGACCTCTTTCGTTCTAAAGTTTCACAAATACTTCTTATATTTTTCTTTCAATGTCCTGATTTTTCACATTTAAATCCTTAGTCTGCCTGGAATTTGTTTTTCCAAAGATGTGCAACTATCACAAAACAATTATTTTAGGGGCTAGAGAGATGACTCAGAAGTTAAGAGTACTGGCTGCTCTTCCAGAGGTCCTGGGTTCAATGCCCAGCAACCATATGGTGGCTCACAACCATCTGTAATAAGATCTAGTGCCCTCTTCTGGCCTGCAGGCAGACATGCAAACAGAACACCTGTATACATAACAAATAAATCTTAAAGAAAAAAATTATTTTATAAAATTATATTATACTACATACAGCTTTCCTTCATCAATTCCAAATTCTATTTTCACCATATACTAAGGTAAAGAAACATGAAGAAATGTTTCTGAAAACAAAATATTAAAGGAAAAGGTCTGGAACTGGAGAGATGGCTCAGCAGTTAAGAGCACTGTCTGCTCTTCCAGAGGACCCAGATTCAATTCCCAACACCCACAAGGCAGCGCACAACTGTATGTAGCTCCAGCTCTAGGGGATTTGACACCCTCACATAGACATACATACAGGCAAAATACCAATGCACATAAAATAAAAATACATACATCATTTAAAAAAAGAGCACACATTGCTCTTCCAAAGGACCTGGGTTTGGTTCCAGCACCCACACAATAGCTCACAATCATCTGTAACTCCAGTCTCAGAGGATCCAATGCCCTCTTCTGGCTTTCAAGGGCACATGCACGTGGTTCACAGACATACATGCAGGCAAAACACCCATACACATACAATAAAAATAAATAAACCTTTAAAAAAAAGGGGGGGGGATCTGTCTGCAATAGGATACACCAAATCTGAGAGGAGATGGTCATGAGTCTGTATCCACAAATGCCTAAAGATAAACTATGGATTTTATAAGAATACATTTGCAGGCTGGAGCGATGGCTCAGCAGTTAAGAGTACTTGCTGCTCTTCCAGTGGTCCTGAGTTCAATTCCCATCAACCACATGGTGACTCACAACCATCTATAGAGGGATCTGATGCCCTCTTCTGGCATAAAGGTGTACATGCAGAGCACAGATATATGTAAAATAAATAAGCCTTAAAAATATATATTTCAAAATATATATATATATATTTCTATATTCATAATTTAAGGCAGCCTTTTAAATAAACAAACTAGCCTAACTCAGTCACACATGTCTTGAATCCCAGCAGCTGGGGAAAGGCAGGAAGATCAATCAAGTTCAAAGCAGCCTGATCTACAAAGGAGTCCAGGTCAGCTAGGGCTGTACAGCAACAACCTGTCTGTGTCTGTCTTTCTCAGACCTCAAAAAGAAAGAAAATCAATTAATCACAACCAGCTGAGACAAAAAAGAACTTAGGTAACCTGGCCCCAAATTCCCTACTCCCCACTTCTAACCTAAACATGTGCCTAATGTAACAAAATGAAAGAATTAAACAAGCAGAGGAGCATAAGGAATGAAAACTCAGATCAACCTTAGCCATTTCAAGCTGTCTAACTGTCAAATAGGTAATATAAGATTTTATAATTGCCGGGCGGTGGTGGCGCATGCCTTTAATCCCAGCACTCGGGAGGCAGAGGCAGGCGGATCTCTGTGAGTTCGAGGCCAGCCTGGTCTACAGAGTGAGTTCCAGGACAGCATCCAAAGCCACAGAGAAACCCTGTCTCGAAAAAAAAAAAAAGATTTTATAATTACTGGGCAGTGATGGCACACACCTTTAATCCCAGCACTTGAGAAACAAAGGCAGGCAGATCTCTGTGAATTCAAAACCAGCCTGGTCTACAGTGAGTTACAGAACAGCCAGGGCTATTACACAGAGAAACCCTGCCGCAAAAATAAATAAATTTTACAGCATCGCTTCTGCTTTAAGCAAATTATAACTGGTGAATTCAGTAATATGCCTCAATTCAATTTCTTAAAAATTTAAAGAAAAGTAAGATGCCCAATACTAATTACCTGACTGATTCTTTCTGAAGAGATTCTGCAAGTGTTGTCAGATGTCGAACACTGGGCAGAACTGGAATGTGATGTCATTTTGGCAGTGAAGATTCTTCAGTAAGCAAACTAAAAGGGAAAAAAATATATATATAAATAAATTCAAAGTAGAAAATTCTGTCTTTAGCATTTATTATGAAATAATCTGGGTATGGTGGCACACACCTCTAATACCAGCACCCAGAAGGCAGAGGCAGGTGCATCTTTTTTTTTTTGAGTTCAAGATCACTCTCATCTACAAAGCAAGTCCACAGACAGTCAGGGCCTATACAGAGACCCTGTCTCCAAAACAGAATAAAAAGAAAAGACAAAACTGCCAGCAACAGTTTAAAAACAACAACAAAATCTGACATATACACATATAACTCTGTACAAATGCAAAATACTCACATTGAGATTCTCAATCTCTATTTCAGATCTAGCACAAAAGCTGGAGACTAAACCATCCGTGCCTCCCTCAGGTGAATCCTGAAACAGAGACAGGTTTGGACATGTCCCGCCTACAATGCCAATGCTAATGAGTAAATTGTTCTAGCTGAAAGTCAAATTTACAATCTCTGCTTCCCTACGGGCTGTCAGGTTACCAGTTACTACAGAACAGAATGCTTAAGATAAGAGTTGGGAGACACACACAGCTGGAAAACTACCAAGTAAAGACCATGGTGTTCCAACATGCCTGGACAAGAAACCACACAGGAAAGTGAGTTCAACATTTGCCTGGTAATCATGGTAGGACACACTGGAAAAAAATCTCAACACTTGGGAGTTCAAGGCCAGCCTGATGTACACAGTAAGACCCTCTAAAAAACAACAAAAAGCTTTAAAAATACATTTTCACCAGGCAGTGGTGGCGCTCGCCTTTAAATTCCAGCACTCAGGAGGCAGAGGCAGGTGGTTCTCAGAAGTTTGAGGCCAGCCTGGTCTACAGAGTGAGTTTCAGGACAGTTTCCAAAGCTACAGAGAAAACCTGTCTCAAAAAAACAAAACCAAACCAAAACAAAAAACAAAAAAATGTGGTCTTGGAAAAGGTGTGTGGGCTTCTGCCAGGCCCAGCTTCCCTCTACCTGGAGCTTGTGGACCAAGTGAGCTCTCAGCTACTGCCCCAGTGCCAATGCCTGCCTGCCTGCCTGCTGCCTTGCTTCCTCCCACCATGATGGTCGTGGAACTCACCTTCTCAAACTATAGTAAACAAGCCCTCGATTAAATGCTTTCTTTTTAAACTGCCTTTGTCATGGTGTCTCTTCACCGCAATAAAAAGTAACTAAGACACACACTAAAAACATCTAAGTAAAAGAATGACTGAAAGGGGTGGAGGCAGGGACTTTGAAGGGCAGCTCTCTTTCCCCACTCCCAAACATGTATGAGTCTCATCACTGGTTAGACTGAGGCCGCACAGTTCAGTCAGTGCTGGAGCCCCAGCATGTGTAAAGCCCTGAGTTTAACCCCTAATACCAAAAAAAATCAATACAGCAAAGCGTAGCAGCACACACCTGTAATCTCAGGACCTAGGAAGTGCAAACAGCCCCTAATAAATATTATTGACCAAAAAATAAAGAGCAGGCTAGATTTAACGTCAAATATAAAGTTGATGGGAAATGAAGGACAGGGTAGTAAGGAAGGAAGGGAGACAATTAGCTCTGGCATAGAGAAACTACGTGCGGGTCGATGAAAAAAGGAAAAGGGAAGGACATGACTGCTACAAGTATGGTGGAGGAGACAGTTTACTGTAGATAAAAGGAGAGCACAGTCAGAGGTAGGGACATCTGGGACAGCCCAGAGTGAACATGACTCTGAGACATGTGAGGCGATGGGGGAGGGAAGAGGGGAGAGCAGCTGCTGGTCAAGAGGGGTAGCCTGGGCCAAGAAACAGGCCAACAGAGTAGACAAAAAGGCCAAGTGACCAAATGGCTGGATTGTATAGGAAAGGGCAACTGGGGAAGGGCAGTCAGCCCCTGGGCTGGAGAGGTTTAGGTAGAGAGTGGGGTATGCCAGTCATACCCTGTAACAGTAGGGACTGGGGTGCAGGAAGAACTTGGCAGCCAGCATTCACTTTAGTATGCAGGCACCTCGGCTGTTTGTCCAGGTTTGAGACCTAACATCAGGATTATGGAGACTTTTACAACATAAACCTAATGAAACAACCACTTTATGTGAGTACTAATTCAAGCAAACAATGTGCAAAGTATGTTTTAAATAATAAGTCAGGAAATGGCAGGGTATGATGGCATGTGTCTTTAATCCCAGCTCAAGGAAGGCAAACACAAGTGGATCTCTGAAAATTCAAGTCCAGCCTGATATACATGAGTTCCAGAATAACAAGGGAGGACTATGTAGAGACCCTATAAGTAAATAATCAGAAGTTTTGTATAACAGACAATATTAAGCTACTGTTAACACCAGGCATAGTTAAGAAAAAAACAGATGGAGGCCAGCCTGAGCTACACTGTGAGACCCCCATCTCAAAACATGGGTTTCTTCACTCTTTTTCCGCATTCTGTGTCTTATTCAATTTTAGTGTATAAAGACACGTTCGTTGTTTTATAGAAGTATGTAGTATCATGTATCCTAACTTCTTTAAACAGTATTTTGTTTTGTTTTGTTGGTTTTTTGAGACAGGTTTCTCTGTGTAGCTCTGTATACCAGGCTGGCCTGGAACTCACATAGATCCAACTGCCTCTGCCTCCAGAGTGCTGGGATTAAAGGCATAAGCCACCATCTCAAAACAAAACAAAAACTTAACTAAGGGCTAGAGAGATGACTCAATGAAAATCCTGCTCTTTCAGAAGACCCAAGTTCATTTCCCAGCACATATGTAAGGAGGCTCACAACCTTCTATAATACAACTCCAGGGGAGCCGGGCGTTGGTGGCGCACACCTTTAATCCCAGCACTTGGGAGGCAGAGGCAGGCGGATCTCTGTGAGTTCCAGGCCAGCCTGGTCTACAGAGTGAGTTCCAGGACAGCCTCCAAAATGATACAGAGAAACCCTGTCTCGAAAAACCAAAAAAAAAAAAAAAAAAAAAAAAAAAAACAACTCCAGGCCCTCTTCTGGCCTCCAAAAGCACTACACTCATGTCATGCACATACATACATACATACATGTACACACACACACACACACACTTAAAAATAAAAACTTACAAAAGAAAAATAGCAAGTGTTAACTGTAGTAGAAAGGCCTGTGGTCATTTTAAAAATCCTTATCTATAACTTTTAAAGAATCCCTTATCCTTTCATTTCAGGACAGTGATACAACCAGACTCATTGCCAACCAAGGCTGAAGTGGTGGGGGGAAGCATGGAAAAAACCAAAACCTAGAAGGAACATATTTCAGCCCTATAGCAGGTACTCCCATTTCCACAAACATTCCCTTACTGGGTATTGAGACTACAAGCTTTTCTGACCTTCCAAACTTCCATTTCATTATCTCCAAGTCTCAGTTTATACCATTTAATGCCCATAATGTATTCAGGTACTGAATTTTCGTAGAATTTTTACCATTCCCTCCCTCCCAGTGTTTTCAGTACTGAGTTTTCAAAATGCAAATTGTACCAACTGATCTAAACCCTCCACAAAACAGAAATAAAATAGTGCCTAACAGTTAAGTTTTGAGCTGTAGAACCTGTTTCTGTTATACAATGGCCAACACCTGGATCAGACACTCTTCAAAGCACATAAGACACAACTGTGATTCTTACAGAGAGTCATGCAGTAGAGTACTGTCCTCATTTCCAAACAAGCAACTGACACAGGCAGGAAGATAGCCTGCCCCAAATCATGAGTTCTCGAAATATAGCTGCTAACGCCTGAACTCTAATCTGAAAGCCACTGCCTAACACCTGTACTTTCTTCTTTCTCCATGCTTCAAAACTTCTTACTCTGGCTGTAGAGAGTGCTAAGTGAGTGAAGGTGCCTTGACAGACTGTCCTGACTCCCCCCACCACACACACACACACACACACACTTAATAAAATACTGTAATAAATTTGGGGGCCTTACTCATTCTTCAAATTAGGTCAAAAGCTGCTTCCTTGGAGGAGGCTTTGCTGACTCCATAAAAGGGAAAATGATTATATTAGAATGAAGACATTTGAGTTGTAAGAACATATACTTAACACACACAAGGTCCTTAGTTCAATCCTCACCAATGTTGACCCCTGACGACCCCGTGAAAAACTTGACTAGATTTGGGGGGGTTTTTTTGGCTTGGTTTGGTGGAGCCTGACCTGGAACTCACTTTGTAGACCAGGCTGACCTTAACTCACAGAGATCCACTGGATTTGTTTTTTAATTTGCCCCTACTAGCTTGAAACCAGAGTAGAAAGTCTGTTTTTCTCAATGTTGTTTCTTCCCTACATTTAGTCCAAGGGATTCTTATCTCATCTTGAAATGCCTGTAATTTCACATGGTTTCTCTGTGTAACCTTAATTGTCCTGGGACTAGTTCAGTAGACAAGGCTGATCTTGAACTCAGAGATCCACCTGCCTCTGCCTCCCAAATGCTGGAATTACAGGTGTATACCACTACTGCTTGGCTTTTTTTTTTTAAAGACAGTCTCACTATGTAGCCTTGGCTTGGCTGGAATTCACTTTGTTGATTAAGCTAGCCTTGTTTTCAGAGATCTCTGCCTGTTTTTGCCAGGATTACAGGTGTGCACCACACAACCAGCAAAGACAACAATTTTGTTTTGTTTTGTTTTTCCACACAAGGTTTCTCTGTATCGTTTTGGAGGCTGTCCTGGAACTGGCTCTGTAGTCCAGGCTGGCCTGGAACTCACAGAGATCCGCCTGCCTCTGCCTCCCGAGTGCTGGGATTAAAGGCGTGCGCCACCAACGCCCGGCTACAAGGTTCTTTTTAAAAAAAGATTTTATGTATTTATTACGTACACAGGTGTTCTGTCTGCATATCTGCCCGCAGGCCAGAAGAGGGCACCAGATCTCATTACAGATGGTTGTGAGCCACCATGTGGTTGCTGGGAATTGAACTCAAGACCTCTGGAAGAGCAGCCAGTGCTCTTAACCTCTGAGACATTTTCCAGTTCTTGATCTAAGGTGTATCTGTTCAGCTCTCCTTTTATATTTCTGGTTGTGAGCCTAGCCTTAACGACTGAGCTATCCCTCCAGCCCCAGCTCTCTTTTTAATGACATGTCCTCATGTGTGTCTGGGGGGGGGGTATATCCCAAAGACCACAAGACCACAAAGGTCAGAGGCATCAGATGCCCCTGGAGCTGTGGTTACTGCAGTTGTTAGTTGCCTGGGTCCTCTTCCAAGAGTGCCAAGGCTGCTCTTAACCACTGAGCCATCTCTCCTGACCCTTGTTCAACTAAACTGAACACACAAGAATGAACACTCATTTAAAAAAGAAAGCATGGCATTAATGTATGGGTGTAAAGATTGTGTGTCCATCCAACATGGAGCCCCAGTATTTAAACCAACTTTGAGGTGGCCAAATGTAAACTAAAAGCCTTAATTAAAGGGGTATAATTTTGTATAACTTAATTAAGAAAAAAAACATGGCCAACCACAGTGGCATATTCCTTTAATCCCAGCACTTGTGAGGCAGAGGCTAGCCTGGTCTACACAGTTAGACTGACCCTGCCCCAAATAGATAGACAGACAGACAGACAGATCAATCAGATGTTGGTGTACTTCTTACTAAGTACTTACTTAGTACTTACTTGAGTGTGCAGCAAAAAGAAAAAATTCCCTGCAATACTTTGTCAAGCCAGGAAATAACCTAAAAGTACACCAATAAGGACCCAGCTAAAGAAATGGCTTATGTATCCTTTTTAAAGGACTGTAACACAAACACTTGAAAACAAAGTCTATCTCATAGAAAGCTGAAAAATTTAAGGTGCATACCACAAAATGATCCCTCTACGGTTTAAAACTAAGAATATGTGTAGAACAAGTCAGGAAAGCTGTAAGACCCCCATGATGTCAGAGGGTTTAAGGATGCTGACCTGTCAACTTCACACATTCACATTTTTTTCAAATAGGAGTCTGTTGTGGTCTTGACCTGTATTCTGTGTGTGTGTGTGTGTGTGTGTGTGTGTGTGTGTGTGTGTGTTTGTACTGTATATAATATTTTAAAGCTAAAATACTTTTTTCCTAGCAGGAATGAGTGAAGGGGAAAACTAACCCGGAACTGATAGTGACACCTAGTATTATTAAAAGTTTCAAGTTTCTTTGACAGACACATCCCATGCAGTGGAGCTTCCTAACCCACCAGGCCTTTCTTGAGAAGGACAAGACTGGCGTTGTTTTAGCCAGGCGTGGCCTAACAGAGTAGTTTTAAAATCTGGGGATGTACAAGAATCACTGGGAGGTGTGCTAATTAAAGTTCATATATGTGGACCAGGCGAGGTGGAGGAGCAGACTGGAAGACAGGGCCTGGTGGCTGATCTACACAGCAAGTTCCAGGCTAGTCAGGGATGGTTACACAGTGAGATCCAGTCTCAAAACAAAACAAAATAATAAGTCTTACTCGCGGAGGATAATAATAATAATAATAAATACACGGGGTCCGTATGTGGACCCCAAACGAACATCTTTCAAACACCAGAGCAGACAATCTGCAGCTCTAAAAATTCTTTAACTCTTAAGTCGCGTTAATGTCACTCTCCCGGTCTCCCTTTCTCCGACGCCCTTTCCCTCAAAGCCCCACAGACTCCTCGACTTTGAGATGCAATTAAAACATTAACACAATCACTTCACTTTCTGGAACTGTAAAACCCGTTTCACCGCACTTCGTTTTTCTCCTCCGCGGGGCCGCAGCGCCACCCTGCCCCCACAGCCTCACCCGTGGGCCCGCTGCCCACACCGCCCTCCCCGCCCCCGGGTTCCTCCCGCCCGCTCGCCAGCTCCATGGCCTCCGGGCCTCCCGTCCGCTCCCGGCTGGCCAGACCCCACCACCACACCTTACGGCCACGCCACAAGTCGCTTCGCCTCCGAGCTGGGGGAGGGGTGGCAGAAGCAGATCCTGAGGCCTCAGCAGCAATTTGAAACTGAGAGCAACGGCGGGACGACTTCCGCTCTCTCCAAGTCAGCGTTCGCGAGAGCTTCCGGGGAGGCAGTCGAAACCATAGAGGAGCCCCTGGAGGACTAGAAAGCTAGAACGGCTGAAGAACCTACCATCGAGTACACGCTAATCCGGAAAGAGAGTCTCCAGTCCTGGCGCATGAACGCTAGAGATGGTTATATATTTTATTTTACTTTTGAGACAGGAACTCTTGTGTGTAGCTCTGGCTGCTCTAGAACTCGCTATGTAAGCCATGATAGCCTCGAACTCACAGAGGTCCACTTCGTCTGCCTCCCGAGTGCTGGGATTTAAGGCATGCCACACCATGCCCTGCAGAAAGAAGTTTTGAAAGAGAATAGGGAGGGAGAAGTGCCACCAAAACAGAAGAAAACTAAGAGCATAATCAGAGGTGGCCTTCAGCTCTTCAGAAAAAAACCTTAATATAATTTACTCATCCTTATACACCCAGAGTAGCCGCCGAGGGAAACAGCATCCCGGGTGTTACTCACTGGGGAATATACAACTGGTTTATTCACGAACGACCTTAACTGGGATCACAGAATCAGATCATGCTTCCCCGCCACCCCCAGGGGTTGACAAACTGTCCCAAGCAAACTGCCTTTAACCTCTGCCAATGCCAACCAAACGTTATCACCTCCCCCAGATAACCTCATTTATTTCGGTACAATCCTGAGAGAGGGTTTTCGGAACTGAAATATTTTGTCTTTTAATTTCTATTAATAGCTGGGTATTTTGGAGGGCAGTACGAATTCATTACTTCCAACATAAATGCTACCCGGTTTTGATTTTTGATCCTTTTGCTTTGTTTTGTTTTGAGACAGGGTCTCTGTCTCCTCGGCTGTCCTGGAACTCTATGTAGACCAGGTTAGCATGGAACTCAGAGATCCTCCAGCTGTGGCCTCAAGCCAGGGTGCTGGGATTATGCCGCTCTACTCCCCAGATCTTTGAAGACAGCCTCCATATCCCCAATCCTCTTATTTCCCTACACGCTAAACCTTCCTGATCCTTTGATTATTTCTTTTTTGACCTGTCAATGAGCCACCTTTTACCCTGGTCGATATTTTCTGGACAAGAACTTGTTCCTGTTAAAATGTGATACCCAGAAATAGATCCGTACTTACGAATTTATGTAAAGAAAACAGGGCAGTAATCTCCCTTGGTTTACACATTACAGTTCCCTACCACAAATTTATTACTTGGACATTTTGTAGGATAGAACGAATTTGTTTTTTTTTTGTTTTTTTTTTTTTTTGGTTTTTCGAGACAGGGTTTCTCTGTATTGTTTTGGAGACTGTCCTGGAAGTCTGTAGACCAGGCTGGCCTCGAACTCACAGAGATCCGCCTGCCTCTACCTCCCAAGTGCTGGGATTAAAGGCGTGCGCCACCAACGCCCAGCTGAATTTGTTATTTCTAATAGAAACATTATTCCATTATTTTTGTAGCTCTGGCTATCCCGGAAGTCACTATGTAGACCGGGTTGGCCTCAAATTCACAGATCCCACTGCTTATGCCTACAAAGTGTTGGGAATAAAAGCATACACCACTGGGTCCCGCTCCTTCTTAGAGCCTTTCCACCACTGAGAGATTCAGCGTGAGGTCAACAATGGTTCCTCAAAAGAGGGGGAAGCAAACTTTTAGGTAAACCCTAGTCAAGCATTTCCCCCTCTCTCTTTGTGCAACTACTTTTTATTTGGTTGCTTTAATTTGGTTCCCTTCTGTTTTGGGGACAGGCCTGTGACTCATTATATAGTGCAAACTGGTCTGGAACTAGTCAGTCTTCTGCCTGTCAAATTCTGTGTCTTCTATAAGCATGACCCACCATGACTGACATAGCAAGTTCTAGGTCCTTAAGGGCTATATCATGAGATCCCACTCTCAAATTAATTAACTAATTTCCCAACAGGAATTTGTTTTCTGTCTTTTAAATAGTATCTGGCTAATTTAGATTCCTTCCTACTGTCTGCGGGAACCTTGGACTTACTATCACCTCATGCAATTCTGATTCTTTAAAATGAACAATCTAGAGCAGTGGTTCTCACCCTTCCTAATGCTGTGACAACCCTTTAATACAGTTCTTTATGTTGTGGTAACTCCCCAATCATAAAAGTATTTCATTGCTACTTCATAACTGTAACTTTGCTAGCATTACGAATCATAATGTAAATATCTAATGTGTAATATATCTAATATTGGTTGTCGTCATCCTGTCCCCCCCCCTTCCTGCCCCATCCCCCCATCTCGATTCACAGGTTTGGAACAGCTGATCTAGAGGCTTCCAAAAGTAAGACCTGAGGATTAGCTAGCTGTCTCAGCAGATAAAGACATTGCCCTAAGCCTGAATTTCAAACATTAAAAAGAAAAAGAAAAAAAAAAAGGTAAGGCCTGGAAACTGATCTAGTAAAAAAATCTGATTGTCAGGTAAAGAAAATATAGTAAATCCAATTATGGATGAGATGCTGTCACCCTTGGTGCTGGCCAAAAGTTCAACCATTTTCCTTTTTATTTTTCAAAATATTTATCAGCAATTTGTCATCATCTAAAGCCTTAATGAGGGGGGCTGGAGAGATGGCTCCTCGGTTAAGAGCATTGACCTCTCTTTCAGAGGACCCAGGTTTGATTCCTAGCTCTCACATGGCAGTCCACACCTATCCGTAACTCCAATTCCAGGTAATCTAGCACTGTCTTTTAGCTTCTAAGGGCACTGTACACAAATGATACATACAGGCAAAACAGCCACACAAATAAATACTTTTGTTTGGTTGTTTGTTTGTTTTGTTTTTCGAGGCAGTGTTTTTCTGTGGTTTTGGAGGCTGTCCTGGAACTAGCTTTTGTAGATCAGGCTGGTCTCGAACTCACAGAGACCTGAGTGTGCTGCCGCTGCCACTGCCGGGCTTGTTTTTGTTTTTCAAGTCAGTGTCCTACTTTGTAGCTCTTGCTGTCCAGGAACTCATTATGTAAACCAGGCTGGCCTCAAACTTGGAGGTCCACCTGCCTCTGTGCTGAGTGGATTAAAGTATGTAGTATGTGCCACTATGCCAAGCCATAAATAACTTCATTTTTTTTTTTTTTTTTTTTTTTGGTTTTTCGAGACAGGGTTTCTCTGTATTGTTTTGGAGGCCGTCGGGCCAGCCCGGCCTCGAACTCACAGAGATCCGCCTGCCTCTGCCTCCCGAGTGCTGGGATTAAAGGCATGCTCCACCAACACCTGGCTCCCTTTTTCATTTTAAAAGAATTAGAAGACAATTCTTGGATTACAACCTTTCTGAAACAAAGCTACAGTGATAATTCCCTCATCCATATAAAGAATATGAAGATGAATATAATTTTTCCTTATCATTCTTCCTCCTAAGGAACAGCACTTAACTACACACAAAAAAATTTTCCTCTCCCAGCTTCAAACTCAGAACCATTTTCCTGAGTCTGGTATTTACTTGTTCCATTCATGTCTTTAGATGTTTAAGACTTTTAATGTTTTTATTTATTTTGTGTATGAGGGGCATACACAAAGAGTTGATTTTCTTTTTCCATGTGGGTCCCAGAGTTCAAACTCAGGTCCTCAGGTTTAGCATCAAGTGTCTTTACACATTGAACCATCTTGCTGGACCAATCTTAAGGACTAATATATGTATGTTTCTTTAAAATGTTTTGCACTTTTTTTTTCGAGACAGGATTTCTCTGTGGCTTTGGAGGCTGTCCTGGAACTCCCTTGGTAGTCCAGGTTGGTCTCGAACTCACAGAGATCCGCCTGCCTCTGCCTCCCGAGTGCTGGGATTAAAGGCGTGCGCCACCAACGACCAGCTGTTTTGCACTTTTTTGTTTAGTCTCTAAGACTTTTTCCTTAACTTCTATTTATTTTTTGTGTATGAGTATCTTGCCCACATGCATAACTGTTGCCTGTAAAGGCTCTAGCAAGGTATTTGATGCCCAAGGGCTGGAATTATAGCCGGTTGTGAGCTTCTATATGGGTGCCAGGAATCCCACACTGTAGGTCACAACTGCTTAACTGCTGGATCACCTCTCCGACCCCTAGTTTTATGTTTTGAGACAGGATTTTACCGTGTAGTCCTGGCTGACCCGGGCCTATTTAGACCAGGCTGGCCTCAACTCACAAAGATTGTCTAACCCTACTGTGAGTGCTAGATTACAGGCCTGCTCTATATTGTACACTTTTGAATTTATTTATTTTTTTATAGTTGAGTTAAGCTCCAAGTGTTCTACTGCAACTTATATTCTTGTCGTTGTTGTTATTTTTGTGTGCCACATATGTTCAGGTGCTCACAGAGGCCAGAGAAGGCATCAGATAGGTCTGGAGTTACAGGCAGTTATGAGTTGCCTATGTTGGTGCTGGGAACTGAACTCAGGTCCTGCCCTGTGTGACGCGGCGGATGGGATCTCGAGCTGGACCTTCAGGCAGCTGTGAGCTAGTTTCTCCTTCATGCAGGCCTGACCACAAAACCCTATGCCTCCAGCCCCCATCGCTATGAGGTAAGCAATCACTCTGAAGACAATTAGGAAAGGAATTCAGGGGAAGCAAAATCGGCCAACAGAAGCTCTTTACAGTCCCATTCTCAAGCCAGCTCCGTTTACTCAAATTACTAAGGAAGACAAACAGCCTCTCTCCGCGGCGTAGCGAGCTTTCCCCTCTCTGGCTTCGCTCTAGGTGTCACAGCTGGCGACCTCCGTGGTGTACCAGTAAAATGATCTGAACACGGTCAGACGATTCACAGAACAATCTCAGCACCTCCTCTCCCCCATTTTGCACTCCACAGCTCAGCTCACTCTCTTCAGAAGAGCAGGTTTGGAGTCGCTTTCAAAACTCCCTTTTTCCAACCCTGTTGCAAGGGTTTCAGCGCGGATGTCGCCACTGGTGTCAACGGCAAAAGACACCCAAGTCTGTTACTACAAAGTTCAAACGTAATTAGTTTCCAGATCAAAGTCTACTCAAGGAGGAATGTGAAGGAGTTAGCAACGCAACTGGAAGCAGAATTTGGACGGCTTTTACTCTCGCGAGAATACAGTGTTTAGGGCGGGAGCAAGCGCACAGGGTTCCTTACTCTTATGTAAAGGACTGTAGAAGCTGTGTTGCAAGAGCCCGGATAGCTCAGTCGGTAGAGCATCAGACTTTTAATCTGAGGGTCCAGGGTTCAAGTCCCTGTTCGGGCGCTTGGTACTTTTGGTTTTTTTATGTCACTCCCTTCACATCAGCAAAAATTGTACAAATTTAAGGGTAGCCCAAGCTAATTAATATATGCTTTGTGTTGTTACTCTTCACTGGTGAGGACTTGGACAAGATTCCACCGACTCGGTACTCAGAGCTCCCTCCTCGAGGAAGAACGAAGTTTTGCCGACACCTTCCCTTCTTAAGAGTATGTAACATATTCTTAAATCTCTTAATTCTATGAAAAATACACCTAAAAGTCACCTATCTTACTGCTCTATAACTAAGCATTTAATTGTGACTAGTCATGCAAAATTTCCAGCCGCCTGAACAGGGACTTGAACCCTGGACCCTCAGATTAAAAGTCTGATGCTCTACCGACTGAGCTATCCGGGCGCCCTGACAGGCTAGTTTCTCTTCTTTTTACTTAATAAAATTGTAGTTCACTGCTTTTTTTTTTCCCCCTGACAAGCTAAGCGTAGATTTCAGTTAGCTATCAAGTATATTTTCAATGTATCAAATCAGTATTTATTTTTCCTTTTTTGTTTCATTTACCTAATATATACGTTTTCCAAAGTCTTTTCATATTTGATAAATTGCCAGTATTTACTAAATTCGCTAAAACAATATTAATGCTGATTAATTGCAGAAAAGTGGACAAATAAGGTGACCATTGACACTTCAGCATTTGAGTATGATCTTTTTATTACACTTTTTCCCTTCCTTGCTTCACTCTTACTTTTATTCCTCTGAACCACATTTTTTTCCATTAATGAAAATTAACACTTTCATTCTCCCGGTGACAGAGCTGTTCCATTAAACATCCCTTAGCACAAAGTCCAGATTTGCTGGCCAGGGTTCTACTATTTCGGGAAAATAGAAGTAAATGAAGATGGGTCTGAATCTAGTTTATAAGGGAGTTTAAACTTTTATTTTTTTGTTTGGTTGGTTGGTTTTGGTTTTTCGAGACAGGGTTTCTCTGTATTGTTTTAGAGGCTATCCTGGAACTGGCTCTGCAGACCAGGCTGACCTCGAACTCACAGAGATCCGCCTGCCTCTGTCTCCGGAGTGCTGGGATTAAAGGCGTACACCCCCAACACCTGGCTAAACTTTTAAATTTTGACTGAGTTTTTCTTTCCCTCTTCTTTCAGCCTCCCAAAATGAATCCTCCCAAATCAAGATTTGTACACCTAAGGAAACCAAACTGTAGCATTGAGAGTAAAAGTTAGCAGGTCAACTGGATGCTGACCAAGGATTCCGGATGCAGAGGCAGGAGGATCTCTCTGAGGTAGAGACCAGCCTGGTCTAGACAGTGAGCAAAAAGCTCTTCTGAACTCCACAGGCATTCACACAGCATACACTTACACAGACATAAACATATGCACATAATTAAAGATAAAATAAATTAAAAAATATAAGTAGTTTCCAGATCTGCCTAGTTCTGATGCATAGGTTGTGGAACACAGACTATGAAATGTCAAACACTGATCAGAGAATTCATCTTTGTTTCTGAGTACGTGAAACTCCTAAACACAAACAGCAGCAAAATAGGTCGGCCTTTCTTGGGGAACATTCCCTTGCCAATGGTGTGCTTCTTAAGAACAGTGACGAGTCATCTGAGGGGTCCTAAATAGGCCTGGGTCTGTACATTGGAGAGATTATTCAGGTGACCTTTAAGACCTCGTTGCTATGTCAAAACCCTCACCGCACACAACTTGGGGACTGGTTTCATCTTACAGCATCACAGTCCATCCGTGGGGGAGTCAAGACAGGAAAGCAGACAGGGCCGGAGGATTGTTCCTTACCACTTGCTCAGCCTGTTTGCTTTATTTTCTTTTTCTTTTCCTCTTTCTCTTTCTTTTTTCTTTTTCCCGAGACAGGGTTTCTCTTTGTAGCTCTAGCCATCCTGGATCTGACTCTGTAGACCAGGCTGGCCTTGAACTCAGAGATCCACCTGCCTCTGCCTCCCAAATGCTGGGATTAAAAATATGAGCCACCACTGCCCAGCCTCAGCCTGGTTTCTTATAGCACCCAGCGCGGGGGGGGCGCACACTGCTCACAGAAAGCTGCACCCTCCCACACTAACCGTCAATCAAGAATATGTACCACAGGCTTGCCCACAGACCAATCTGGTAAAAGCATTTTCTCAGTTGAGATTTTCTTTTCCCAGGTGACTCTAGGGTGTATAACTAGCCAGCATACCCTCTAAATCCAAACTTTTATTATTCTGTTATATTTTCCATTGCTAAATCTGAAGGAACAAGCTCAAAATGCACAAGGAAGGCTAGCCAGTATAGTGGGTTAAAAGTACTTGTTGCTGAACCTGGTAACATGAGAGAGAATAGACTCCCACAATCTGGTCTGCATGCTCACACACATACAAAGGCACACAAAAACATGTAATCCAGAAAAAGAAATTAGGGCTGGAGAGATGGCTCAGAGGTTAAGAGCACTGGCTGCTCTTCCAGAGGTCCTGAGCTCACAACCATCCATAATGAGATCTGGTGCCCTCTTCTGGCCTGCAAGCATACAAACAGGCAGAAAGAACACTGTATACATAATAAATAAATACAATTTTGAAAAATTAGCGGGGCAGTAGTCACTCACGCCTTTAATCCCAACACTCAGGAGGCAGAGGCAGGTGGATCTCTGTGAGTTCAAGACCAGCCTGGTCTACAAGAGCTAGTTCCAGGACAGGCTCCAAAGCCACACAGAGAAGCCCTGTATCGAAAAACAACAACAAAAATTAATGCACAAGAAATGCTTTAAGTCAACAAAGGTTTACTGACAAACCATCGTGTTTAGGCATTGTACTATCTATCTATGGAGTAGGAAGTAAACAGGGCATGGGATCAACAGCAGTCCAGGAAAGGTAAGCCTAGAAGCAAACACATTAGCATAAGGAACTAAACACAGGAGGGGCTGGAGAGATGGCTCAGTGGTTATGAGCATATCCGCTCCTGCATAGGACCCCACATAGCAGCTCATAACTGCCTGTAACTCCAGTTCCAGGGGATCCAACACCCTCTTCTGTTCTCCATGGGGCCTCTGCATGCACCTGGTGCACACTGACACACAGTCAAACACACATATGCCACACATGTAAGTAAATACATCCTTAAAGAAATGCACACAGGGGAGGCAGAGGCAGGTGGATCTCTGTGAGTTCGAGACCAGCCTGGACTACCAAGCGAGTTCCATGACAGCCTCCAAAGCCACAGAGAAACCCTGTCTCGAAAAACCAAAAAAATAAAAAGGAAATGCACACAGGGGCTGGAGAGATGGCTCAGTGGTTAAGAGCATTGGCTGTTCTTTCAGAGGACCTGGGTTCAATGCCCAGCACCCACATGGCAGCTCACAGTTGTCTTTATCTCCAGTTTCAGGGAATCTGATACCTTCACAAGAATGCACATAAAATAGAGTTAAATAAATTATTTTTTAAAAAAAGAAATGCACACAGCAACAAATACAGGAGCTGAGGAGCAAAAGAGCTTATTCAAAACTCCAGCCCTGGCCATTTTATATGAAAACCGCATTATCAGAGTAGCGCTAAAGCGGCTGTCAGTCATGTAGAAGAAATTGTAAAGAGTCAAACATACTGGCATTCAGGCATCTGTACTGGCCTGCCCTTGGGGTTCTGACAGGATATGTCCTCAGCTGCAGCCACTGAGCGTACCACCTGTGCTCATTTTCCCTTTTAAAAGGGCCCTGCCAGCCTCTCTGTCTCTCTCTGTCTCTCTGTCTCTGTCTCTGTCTCTCTCTCTCTCTCTCTATCTCTCCCTCTCTCTCTCTCTCTCTCCCTCCCTCTTCCTCTCCCTCTCTGCTTCTTTGCCTGTCTCTCTGTCTCCCCTGGCTTTCCATTCCCTTCCCCCAATAAAAATCCCTCCACATGAGCTCTGTCAAATGGCATCTTTGTCTCCTGCTTTTTAAATTACAACAAAACAGACATTATTTGGACATATTTCTTGAGCAAGTTAGCTATATATCAAGCAAGAAAAACATTCCTTGCTTTGCTCTGTCTCTATGCATGAGGTGTGGGGATGAATTTTTATAGCCCTGGGTGGCCTGGAACTTACTATGTAGACTAGCAGCATCACCTGCCACTCAGAGGCCAGTTACAAATTTTATAGCTAGTCCCCTTGAGATTTAACCATTGCATTAGTTTTTTTTTTCTTTTTTTCTTTTTCTACAGGATCCCATAGAGTCACCTTTGTCCCCGTGACAGCTGGAAGTAATTAGAAGAAAACAAGGACACCTTTCCCTACAGTTGGCTTAGATGGTGTTTTTATTTGTTTGTTTGTTTTTTCCAAGGATATATATATATAATTGCCAACTGCTTAGGGTTGATTTTAAGTTGTGTAGGGTTGGGAATGGAAGATGACATTCAGACTCAGGAATCTCAAACTCACAAAAATCTGCCTGCTTCTGACTCCACCACACCATGTATGTCATGTTTTAAAGGAAGGGAAATGGTGTCTGTCCGGGCTGCCTGAGAGGAACAGGAATAAAGAGACTTTCATGGTTTTTCCTACCCGAAGGTCTTGTTACGCTCGAGGATAAAACCAGAAGTCTCAAGTTTACCTGACTAAATGGGATTGGCCAGTCAGTAAGCTGTTTACTGACAATCTCCTGTTTTCCAAACGGAGCAGGACGGCAGGGAGGGACACAGCAAATCTGAAAGGGACTTGAGGAGCACATGCCACACCTATTGGTCAAGGGGGTTAGATAGAGAGGAGAGGTGGCCAGGCTAAGGAGAACATTTTTATTTTATTAGAAGCTAGGCTTGTTAAAGCTGGAAATAGTTGCTTCATATGTTATGCGGAAACACCATCACAGGTGCCATCTCAGACCTTCCCTTACATTGGCTGTTGGATTTAATATTTCCACTAGAGGGCAGGCTAAACTCACAGATTCTGAGCATGGAGCTTCTAGTTCCCTTTTACTTTTATTTTATTTATCTATTTTGTTTGTTTATTGTTTTTTTTTTCAAGACAGGGTTTGGAGGCTGTCCTGGAACTGGCTCTTGTAGACCAGGATGGTCTCTGAACTCACAGAGATCCGCCTGCCTCTGCATCCCAAGTGCTGGGATTAAAGGCGTGTGCCACCACCGCCTGGCCTACTTATTTTATTTTTAAATGTATGTGCATGCGTACCTGTTTGTCTCTGCACCAAGTGGAGAGCATGCCTGTGGAGATAAGAGGCGTTTTTGAAAGTCTGGAACTGGAGTTACAGATAGTTGTGTGCTGCCCGGTGTGGGCCCAGGAATTGAATCCAAGTCCCCTGAAAGAGCAACAAGTCCCCTAATAGCTGAGCCATCTCTCTAGCCCTTGCTTATTATTACTTTGAGATGGGGGCTCATGTAGCCCTGCCTGGCCTTCAGCTGGTCATCCTCCATCCTCCCCTCGGGCCTGCTCAGAGTGCACTCATGCAGTGGGTGCCAAGCCCAGCTGTGGCTGTTATGTGTCCTAAACTTAATCTCACCTCCTAATTATTTTCAGGCTGCTACTATTTTGTTTTGTTTTTGAAACAGGGTCTCACTTTGCAGCCCAGGCTGGCCTCAAACTCACAATTCTCCTACCTCAGCCTCCCAAGGGCTAGAATTACAGGTGTGCCCGGTTCCGGCTAATTCTTTTACTGGTGTGAGTGCAATGTAGCACTATTAACTATTACCCTTTCTTCTGAGTAACAACCCCTCATTCTCCACCACTGCCCCTCAGCCCCAGGCCATGGCCAGTCTGGTCTCCACTTCCTGTAGTCTGACTTTTGGAATTCCACATAAGGGAACTCATATAGTGTTTGCCTTTCTGCCTTTGGCTTACTCCCTGGCGTATGACCCCCTCCACGTTCATCAGTGCACGTGCAAATGACACAGCTGCCTTCATTCTTCGGGCTGGATGGCATTTTCCTTGCACACTCATCTGTTGATGGGCCCTTGAGATGGGGATGTGCTATTGTGAATAATGATGCGATGAGAAGGCTGGCCTGGAATTCCCTGCGTTGATCTGCTGACCTCAAGAGGGCAGCAATCCCCCTGCCTCTGTCTCCCGAGGCTGGGATTACAGGTGTGGGCCTCTGGCCTCTCCTGTGTTTCTAATAATATCATCTAGCTTTCTAAATTTTGTTTTGTGTTTTTTGATTTTACAAGACAGGGTTTCTCTGTGTAACAGCCCTAGCTGTCCTGGAACTCACTTTGTAGATCAGGCTGGCCTCAAACTCACAGAGATCCACCTGCCTCTGCCACTCAAGTGCGGGGATTAAAGGCGTGCCTGGCCCACTCTAGCCTTCTAAATCCACTGTTTATTAGTAGGACTTGAAACCATGTATAAGGCATGAAGAAGTTGCTCGTTATAGAAAAAAACTGGCTCCACAGTTCAGAATATTGGCTGCTCTTCCAGAGGACTTGGGCTTGATTTTCAGTACCCACAAGGAGACTTTCAACATCTGAAACTCCAGTTCCAGTACATCCAAAACACCCAAACACATAAAATAATAATAAAAAGATACTTCATGCTGGGTATGGTGGCAAACATCTCTAATGCTAGCACTTGGAAGGCAGAGGCAGACAAATCTCTGTGAGTTCAAGTCCAGTCTGGTCTACGAAGTGAGTTCCAGGACAGCCAGGGCTATTACACAGAGAAACCCTGTGTTGGGAAGAAAAAAAAAAAAAAAAAGCTCTTCAAGAAGTATCCAATGGAACCAAGTGCAGTGGTGCAGGCCTGTAATCCCTGAACTCAGAGGCAGTGGCTGGAGGATTTGAGTTTGAGTCCAGAGAAGATTGTAGTGAGACCCTCTCTTTCAACAGAAACAAACAAGTCACCCTCCTCCTAAAAGTCAGAGAAGCAGAGAAGATAAGAGAGCATGAGGACCTGAGTTCAGATCTCCAGTGTCTACAATAAAAATGTCCAGCATTGTGGTTCCCTCATAATCCCAGAGACGGCAAGATGGGAGGGAACAAGCTAAAACCCCCAGAGCTCACTGGCCAGCTAGCGTCAGTCTGGATCATTGGAAGACCTGATCTCAAATGAAAAGAAAAAAAATTAGAAGAGTGTGTATGGAGGCCCTATAGAGAAGCTTACTCTGAGAACCAGGGGAAGACACATTATTTCAAATTTATAAAATTTAATAAATCAAATTATTAAAATACATATATTATTAAATATAATATTTACTATTGCCACCATAAAAAAATCACACACACCTCCAGTTAAGTGGATTGTTTTGTTTTGTGGTTTCTTGTGACAAGGTTTCTCTGTGTAGCCTTGGCTATCTTGGAACTCACTCTGTAGACCAGGCTGGTCTCGAACTCACAGAGATCCTCCTGCCTCTACCTCCTGAGTGCTGGGATTAAAAGCATGCTGGCTTAAATGGATTTTTAAGCACACAGAGCTAGGATTAGGGCTGTAGCTCAGAGGTAGAGTGTTGCCTCTCATGCATGACAGCCTATGTTCAATCCCCAGTACTACCACACAGACCAATAATGATTGATGAGTGTGGTGTGCAATGGCTGTAATCTCAGCACTTGGGAGGTGCTGAGCAGGAGGATCGTGAGTTCAAGGCCGCCCTTAGATCAAGTTTCAAGCTAGTGGGGCCACATCAGACTTTGTCTCAAAATCAACCCCTCAAGCCCCTCCACCCCCCAAAAGCGTGACCCTACAGCTCATCAGGTGAGAAGTCCACCCAACTGTTCGGGTGGCAGCAAGGCTGTGTTTCTTCTGTTTCTTGTCCTACCTTGTCTCAGAGGACCTCCAGCAACAACTTGAGAGGTGGCAACATTCATTTTCCTAGCCGTTCTTCCATCACCGCTGGCCCCTCTGACTCAGCTGGGAGACACTGTCAGTTTTAAGGACTGGAGTGATTAGGCTGGGCTTTGCTGGATAATCTGGGAGTGATAATTAAAGAGTGATACTCTCATTCCTTAATCTCCAAGAGCTTAACCACACCTGCAGAATCCTTTTGCCTTGTTATTGAGCACCTTCGTTCCCTCTGGGGGTTAGGAAACGGCCATTTCGCCCTGCTGGAAGTTCTGCCTACCAAGTAGAACACATATCTACTGAATACAGTGTGGCAGGTATCAATTTGGGGGACAGCAGTGAATGAGACAAGGACTTGTCCACTGAGGCTAGAGTGAAGAGTCAGTTACAAAAGGTCTCATACTCGTAGACTTTCTTCAGGAATTTAGTTGAAGTTTTAGGAAGCCATATGTGCCAGGCACTCTTATAGGCTTCATGAATACAGAAGTTTCAAAACTATAGTAAGGCTGTTTGTGGTGACACTTGCCTTTAATCCCCTTCCAGAGACAGAGGTAGACAGGATCTCTATCCAAGAACAGTCTGGTTATATAACAAGTTCCAGACCAGCCAAGGGAGGCAGAGACAGGTGGATCTCTGTAAGTTCGAGGACAGCCTGGTCTACAGAGTTCCAGGACAGCCTTCAAAACAATACAGAGAAACCCTGTCTCGAAAAACAAAACAAAACAAAAAAATCAATTAAACTGGGCAGTGGTGGCGCATGCCTTTAATTCCAGCACTCAGGAGGCAGAAGCAGGTAGATCTCTCTCAGTTCCAGGCCAGCCTGATCTACAGATCGAGTTAGAGGGGGGGCATCAATTTATAAATAAAATAAAATAATTTTTAAAAGTTTCAAAGTCTTTTCTCAATTTCACTTCTTTCTTTAGGCACCTAATCTTGCCAAGAGCTGCCTTCTTCCTCCTTCTTCTTCATTTTTTTTTTTTTTGGTTTTTTGAGACAGGGTTTCTCTGTGGCTTTGGAGGCTGTCCTGGAACTAGCTGTTGTAGACCAGGCTGGCCTCGAACTCACAGAGATCTGCCTGCCTCTGCCTCCAGAGTGCTGGGATTAAAGGTGTGCGCCACCAACGCCCAGCTTCTTCTTCATTCTTTTTTCAAGACAGGGTTTCTCTGTGTAGCCTTGGCTGTCCTGGAACTTGTTGTGTAGACCAGGCTGCCTCATACTCTCAGAGACCCACCTGTCTCTGCCTCCCGAGAACTGCCATCAAAGGTGTGCACCACCATCTGGCAAGACCCCTCTTCTTTATCCTTCTGCTGTTCCTATCCCACAGGCCTTCAAGTCTGACTCAAGTGTTGTACCTGGGTGTCTAAGTGCTGCAGAAGAGCACATTCAGATAGTATCGCATAGTATTAAAATACCCAACACCAGCTGTGACTTCTACGCTAGCTGTAAGCAGATGCTTCCCCCAACCCGAGTCCTCTCTTGCTTGGTGCTAGGGATTAAGCCAGGGCCTTTTGTAAACTGAACTATAAACTCGTCATTTCTTTCTATGACCATTTTAACTTTAACCATTTTCCTTGAGTCTTCAATTCTATCTTTTGTTTGTTTAGTTTTTGAGACAGAGTTTCTCTGTGTAATCCTTAATGTCCTGGAACTCTCTCTGTAGACCAGGCTGGCCTCAAACTCAGA